ATAATGGTATAAATACTGGCAACAACTATCCACAAAATAATGACCCCATGGGAATATTTTTAGAATTACAAATTATTCTGGCAAATGTTTCAGTGTTAAGGTAAGAAACCTTGAACAAATGTTTCAGTGTTAAAGTAAGAAACCTTGAACATAGTAAGGTCAGGAAGTTGTTCTCTCTCCACTAATTGAAGGTCACATTCAGTCCTTCAAAGAGACAAGTGTTCATTGCACAACTATTCCACATTTCTAATACCATGTATAAAAGTCTGACTTGGACTTTGAGAGTCTGGAACTGGAAATCTTAAGGCAATACTCATACTGGAATTTCAGGATAGTAGTCATACTGTTAAACCAGTATTCTTCAGTCATGGAATACCTGATGGATCAAGATGGGCAACAGTCAGTCATGAATGTTCTAGATAATGCAACACTTTAATTAGCCTGCCCAATATGGATTCCCATGGCAATCCCTTCATTGAGGAAAAGAGACAAAATGTAACGTGACTACTACAACTAGTTTCAATACAAGAACATCAATACCCTGGGCACAACACTTTAGTCTGCTCTGTAAAAGTGTATGATGGTTAGATGTACCATTGTAATCCGTCACATATTTAGGCAGTGATCTCCCCAGCATTAAAGCAAGTGGGCGCATCTCCCCTGAGATTTTGAAAATAGGCTCGCACCCACCTGAAAATCTACTTGCACCCACTTGAAAATCATGAAAAATTGGCATAGTTTGACCAATTTTTGTCTGAATTATGAAAATGAGAATTTCGCACACACCTGGGAAAAAATCCTGGGGAGATCAATCCATAATAGGGCTAAGACTTCTTCGAGGAAAGTGCAATCTAAATATTAGAAAGGGAAGTGCTCTCCCAAGAATCAGCAATAACTTACTTTTCCAAGACAGATATGTTTCACACTTGAAACAACAACTCAGTCAAAATTACCTTGAGCTTGTTATATTTAGAATCTAGAACACCCATCAATAAACTTACATGAACATGTAACTTTTAATATTCTGGAGATGAATGTAAGTTTTGATAGGTCAGGACAATATCTGCAAATTTTGTGATTTAAGGCAATCAAAGTATCATTTATATGCGACTGCTAGTGATGAGACAAATACTAAGGCACTTCTATGTTCTAATTTTCTTAGTTTTTCACAAATGTTTACCATATTGTAAAAGGGCATGAAAAACAAACATTTATGTCCAAGGCTTATACCTTAAAGTTGAAAATGCACTATATCTATGATATGTGACCTATTTGTGACCATCTACACTATTTCACAATATGACTTGTGACCATCTAATAACGCTCTATTTCACAATATGGCATTTGACCATCTAATAACTCTCTATTTCACATTATGATATTTGACCATACCTCTATTTCATAATATGGCATGTGACCGTCTAATAACTCTCTATTTCACATTATGATATTTGACCATCCCTCTATTTCACAATATGACATGTGACCATCTAATAAGTCTCTATTTCACAATATGGCATGTGACCATCTAATAACTCTCTATTTCACATTTTGATATTTGACCATCCCGCTATTTCACAATATGACATGTGACCATCTAATAAGTCTCTAATTCACAATATGATATTTGACCATCCCTCTATTTCACAATATGACATGTGACCATCTAACAAGTCTCTATTTCACAATATGGCATGTGACCATCTAATAACTCTCTATTTCACATTATGATATTTGACCATCCCTCTATTTCACAATATGACATGTGACCATCTAATAAGTCTCTAATTCACAATATGATATTTGACCATCCCTCTATTTCACAATATGACATGTGACCATCTAACAAGTCTCTATTTCACAATATGGCATGTGACCATCTAATAACTCTCTATTTCACAATATGACATGTGACCATCTAATAAGTCTCTAATTCACAATATGATATTTGACCATCCCTCTATTTCACAATATGACATGTGACCATCTAACAAGTCTCTATTTCACAATATGTCATGTGACCATCCCTCTATTTCACAATATGACATGTGACCATCTAACAAGTCTCTATTTCACAATATGGCATGTGACCATCTAATAACTCTCTATTTCACAATATGACATGTGACCATCTAATAAGTCTCTAATTCACAATATGATATTTGACCATCCCTCTATTTCACAATATGACATGTGACCATCTAACAAGTCTCTATTTCACAATATGTCATGTGACTAACTAATAATCCAAGCATTATTTTTTATTCATTCTAAAATAGTACATACATCAAGCAAACAAGGCAATGATCACAAACATGAGAAACATAATAGAGAATTAGAGTAATAACCATTCATTGTAGAGAGATATGGTATAAAGATGAATGACATGATAGGGCTAATTGGATATTGATCCATTCTAGCCAGACCATTTCACAACTCTCCCTGCTTGTATGGAAATGAGAGGACATGTTCAGAAAGGGTTACCATGATTTTATATTGTATGTATTGAGAAGTACAAAACATTAATATGAGAAAATGGAAAACATAATAATTGCACTTGTGTGTCTGTATGAGATAATGATTAGAGACCAATCCCAGAATTTCTATTTAGCTGTTCTGAGTCTGGATACATTCCTCATCTGAGATGTCTATTGTGGTGCCTAGATTGTAATGTATCAAATGAATGAATGCAATTCCATATACAATCCTACCTAAATGCTTTATTAGGGTTTTCTTTACAATGCTGTATAACACCCCATGCAGACGGATCGCCAAAAAGTACATTCATATGATGTGAGACTCGACATTCACCAGGAAAGTAGAAACATTTTGTCACCCATGAAGCAAATTAATTTTTACTGCTTAATAAATGGTCAAGGACAGTAACATTAAGTTCTATAAGCATGAGAATAGCATGACGTCTTGATATTTCAAGGTAACTCGTTCAAAAGTGATCGAAATTACGATGTTAAGATAAAGCAGTGATGAAATATTTGTTGATTTCTTTGAAAAACTAAGATATATACAACACATATAGACTTTTTTAAAACAGAAAAAACATGTATAAAATGTAAGGCCTGCAGGTCAGATTTTCCCTGGTAGCATTACATTGGTCTCATACATGTCATACAATTAATTTTTGCAATACACCTATCATTCGAACTTATGATCGGACATAAGTATGATGTTACTTTATAAATATTACATTGAAGTACACATCATATTTATGTCCGATCATAAGTTAAGCAGTAAAAAATTAATTTGCATCATGGCTGACAAAATGTTTCTACTTTCCTGGTGAATGTCGAGTCTCACATCATATAAATACAATTTTAGGCGATCTGTCTGATGGGATGTATTAGGTTTTTCTGTGCAAAACTTTGAGCCAAAACAACAGGCCAGAGCACAATACATGTACATGTACAGGGTGATCACTAAGTTCTGGGAATTGGTCTGTCATTTCAATATTTTTCAACCAATTCAGTTGAAACTTCCAGCAAATGTACATTGTATAATTCTGAATTGACAGACAATGTTTCATGGACATATTACTTTTACAATTTATTTTATTGCAATTATAAAAAAAGTAAAAGTGGTCAGCGGGTCAGCAAATTTTGACTGACGTTAATTTGAAAAATATCCTGCTAAAACATATTCATCTTGCCTAGATCGTTGGTTCAAACTTATTGTACTAGAGGCAGAACAGTACTCTTGAAGTCATTTATTCAGAAGTATTCTTCATTGCTGGTAGGATCATTTCATTTATAATGATTTCCATAGGCCTGAATGCCTATGTATTGTTGTCAAACCTACTGTAGTCCATAAAGTTGCTTTCCAGTCCTCCCCTTGGTATCCCTTTAAAATTTGCTCAAGCTGTTGAGATCAGTCCCTCATTGGAACCAAACTTATGATGATCTCTATATGAAGCTTCAACAGTCAAATTTAGTGAACCTAATGGTGGTTCATCTGGTGAACATTACATGGTGAATATGGGGCATGAACAACTTGTGTGAACCTTAATTCTTCAAGACTAGTATGGGCAATTTGAGGAATGGGAAGAAAAATAGTCACAATGGAAGATAACTCCCCGCTATTTTGAGTCATGATTGTGAATTTGAGAGTCTGACCAATGATAAGAAAATTGAGCAAAGTGGACTCTTATATCACAATACAGATGTTACTTTAAAAACTAAACTTAGAAATATTTGAAAACATAAAAAATCACAGAAATTTCTCTACCAAATAGGTATTAATTAACCATACTTTTGGATCAAGTAAAATAAAAATGAATTCAAGTTTTTCTTGACCCGCTACGCCATTTGTCATGTTGCTATAGTAACAATAATTATCCATTGTGACATCATATGACAATGAAACTGTTTTATCCAACCCAAAACTATATTCTCCATTTACCTTGAAAATTTCAAGTAGATTGGTTGAAAAATAATGAAATGACAGATAAATTCCCAGAACTTAGTGATCACCCTGTATTTATGATTAATATAAGATGATCATAATAAGGAGTAAAGGCACATGTATATCAGAAATATCTTTGTCTTCGATCAAAGGAATTCTCAAAGATGATGAGAGGATGAGGATAAGTTTTTTGAGATTTAGTAGAGATTGGATGGTTTAGATATGACCGCGAAGCAAATAAAATAAAATTCACACAGATTTGCACAATATAGAGTATTACTGATACGATATTGGTAGTTCATTATTCCAATGGATGAGTTCGTGTTCCCCAGAATTTTCCTCAATTAAGTGTATGCAAAAATATCATTTGCACATTACTGACAAACATTGATCAAAGCAATCTAATTTTTTATGAATTTTCTCGTTTTCAAAAGTGCAACAATCCAATTTTTCATGAATTTTCCAATTTTCAAAAGTACAAAGTAAAAGTAGGCCTTTTTTCAAAATCTTAATTGGGGAGCATCCACTTGCTTCAATTCTGGGGAAATCACTGTGTTAGTTTTCTAGAATGATGATGCACCTACCTAAAATGGGTTCTCCTTCTTCCACCTCATAGATGTCCTTGCAGAATGCATATGTACACTCGGATATGTGCACTCGTCCTGGTTTGCCAGATGACTCCATAAGATTTGCCATTGTTACATCGTTGGACCATACATCAAACTTAAATCTGCGTGTGCCGACAAGTCCACACAGTACTGTGCCAGTGTGAACACCTACTCTCATATTCACTTCTTCATTATTATCTTCATCAAATTGTTGGATTGCTTTAATCATTCCAATGCCCATTTCGACGCAGCATTTGGCATGATCAGCTTTAGGTTCAGGGCAGCCAGACACACAATAGTAACAATCACCAAGTGTGCTGATTTTCTCGCAACCACTCTTAGTACACAGTACATCAAATCGTCCAAAAAGATCATTCAAAAGTGCGACTAGATGTGCTGCAGTCTTATTGGAGCTCATTTTCGTGAATCCAACAATATCAGCAAACAGAATACTGACGTCATCCATTTTTGACATATAAAAGTTTCGGAATATTTCTTGACCCTTTTGTTTCTTGAGACTACTGCTACGTTTCCTCCCTGTGCTTATGTACTCATCCATTTCCTGTTGCTCGTCCCCCTCACCAACACGCGACTTCATCACTTCATCAGCAACCACCTCGGGCATAAGAGAATGAATCATTTTTTCTTTAAGCTGCTTTTCGATCTCAAGATCTCGACGGGCCATAATACTCTGACCAACTTTCCAAAATGTGCTCCGTTTCCTAACCTGCGAGTTAATGAATATATGAGTGCCAATAAGGTGAATGCATACGTGCAGTAAAGCCTTCCCAATGGTGAACTGAATTGGTACATTTTGGTGTGTATACCATGCTAGGATTTCATAGACCACTGAGTAAGAGCCTCCAATGATAAGACACAGGTAGAGAGGCATTGGAAACACTGTGTACATCATCAGAAGGATTTGAATAGAGCCAGAAAAACTCCCTACGGTTGACATGGATGACAAATTTTGCTTGCTGCGGTGGAAATTTGAGAGCGCAAGTCCACATATGACTACAGAGATGAGTATTGACGTGGGCAGATAGAATCTTTCATAGTATTTAGTGTATGTGAATACTAGAATGACCACGGTGAACACGAGCAAGGCGACTCCTCCAGCCACATATTCCACCCAGCATTCCTTGCCCATCGCTGCAAAGAAGATGCTCCAAGCTGCACAGGCGAGAATGATGTAGAATAATGCATATTGGAATCTCCGCTGTGTTTGAGGGAATGCATTCTTCTGGTGTTGAGCTTCTAAGACAGGGCTATCAAATGATGGATTCCACCATGCATTTGAGGCTCGCTCAAACAAAATTGGAAAGATTGATGGTGATGCGACTGAAGTATCCATGTTCAATACAGTTCCACTGAATCGGTTTTTCGTACCAGAAGTTTTTATATCCACCTTTGGTTCGACTATCCCATCTTCATTTTTGAATTCAACAGTCGGGTCAGTGACTTTATCAGATTCCGATGTCATCTTTGAAGCACGGAACTAAGATCCACCTGAAAATAGAAAAATTTGTATTCATTTTTGATCCAAGCTAATGAGGGTATTACAAAATGACAGATCCCTCATTCTCAAATTGAAGAAATTTTACTCTTAAAAATTATTTCCTTTTCATGTAACTTTGGAGGAGATCATCGTGTTGAAGAGTAGGTGTACAACTGTACACGTCCTTCCTTACCTGCTGGTTGACGCCAATCATATGAAATTTATATCATTATCATATTGCGGCTGCATTTGTGCAAACCTTAAGGCTAATCGTAAATCCGGTGCTTTCCAAAACATTCAATCGTCCAATCGTCTTGGTAAGTAGATTTATTAGACTTACTCCCTCAATTTTTTGCCTTAGATTGTTTTAATCGTTTTTTTAAACTTGCTTCGATTGAATATAGATGCAAATAATTTTTACTTATGTTGTAAACCGAATCTTGGAAATTATCATATGTTACATAATGATGATTGAGCTATATTTATGAAGCGATATGTCTAAAGATGTCTGGCTATAAATAAACATAATCTGTACGTTTGGTAAGTGTAACAGCCAATTATGATAAGTTTTATAAAGATGTCTCTGATGCATGTAGCGGGAATTATAAACTTTTTGAAAGTTATGTCACATGAAATATACCTCTTCAAGACCACGACACAACATCAATAAAATATAGTGGCACAGCTACATGTATTCAAAGTAAGCACATGGACTAAACGTTTTGTTGAAAAATCTAATTTCCAAGAGAAAAATAATATTTTTAAGAAACATAAAAGAAAAAATATAACATTTGTTATAATCTAGAGTACAGTAGCAAAGATATAATGAACAAAGTATCCAAAATAGTCAACTGACTTTGTTCATTTTCCATGCTATCTGGTAATATGCATACAGATTATTTAAAAATTCATAATTTGCTTTAAAGATTAGGGATAATGTGGATTTACTATATTTGCACATAGCTACCCTGCGCGCAGAGTCTAGTTAAACTACTGAAGACGAAGCTCTCTTTTAATAAGTGAAGTCAAACGAATGCAAAGGGTAGCACATAGCCATCTCTCAGGAGATAGCTTTGTGCAAACTAAGTAAATGTGGATCAACATATTATGAAAGTCAAGGGTGGATATGTGGGTATAAACTATTTTGGCTCCCAGTTTATATTATTTATTCAAATTTAGGCTACTTTGGCACTTAATAAGGAGGGACCACTCAAGAAAATTTGATAAAATTACAGAATTACACTATGACTATAATTGATTAAACAATAAGATAATTTAATTCACCAATTGCTTTGCTCTTTGTATTTATATATTAATTTCCATCAAAATATGCCATGGCATTTAAATTTCACTATGCCCTATGGGATTTGCATTTAAAATAACTTGACTGAAAACAAAAAAAACAACATTGCAATGGGTAAATTAAATTATTTGTATAGTATACAAGTATAGTCAAAGGACCTGGTATGGTATGGCAAGTGATTTTAGACAGACATATCTTTTACTGTGATTACTTTCTCAATTAAACATAACATTTCTCATCAACACAATATGTTATATTTCCAGTAAATTCTCAAGAATAAGAATATCACTCGAACAATTCCCAAAATTATGAATAGAGAGCCCATGTCAAATTTTTTTTCCAAATTGGGAACCTATTTACACAAAAGAGGATTTTATTTTTTCTGATTTTCTGATTGCATGAAAAGATTATCCAACAAGGGGTGTAAAGCATCCTCAAAAGTAGAATAGGATTGAAAGTCTAGTTTTCAATTTTGGATGACCAAAATTATGCTGAAAACAATGGATAGCATGAGTTCTCTTTTGGAATATAACATGGGATATGCAGTTTTTAACTTTATCACATTTCAATACACTTTTCAGAAGTTGTTAATATGATGTGGAAGAAACTTTTGTTATATTTATATTGAGAGAAACAAGATCCTCTTTCTAGAAAAAGCCTAACATTTTGAAAAAGAGGTGAGGTCTTAATCAGAGAGTTAGATTGATATCTTTATTATTACAGAGATTTCATTTGAAAGAAAACATATTGTTATAAGATGAACATACTGTACATTATTTACCAAATTACATGTATCCATGAATAGTTAATAGTTAGCCATTACTACTAGAGGTTTATATGATTAAAGGTCATTGAAATTTAGTAAATTAAGGTCACAATAAGTATAAATGATACAATGATAATATTTATATGGGATATTCCATGATTTATAAGTGATATGATTTTTATCCAAGAATGGATATGGTATCTGCATGAGCGAGCATAGTGAGATATGAGACATATCATGAGTTAATCTTTGGATGTTCTTTTCATTTCATAGTTTCCAAAATCTCTGATCAGCCATTGTTAATGTCAGCCTCCTTTGGGCAAAGTAACAACAAGGACACAAATGTGTACAAAATGTCCCCACCAAGTGGTGATCCCATCAAATGGTTATCCTGAAAATGAGTAGACAAGACTTTACCAACACAATTTGAGGACGGAAAATCCAAAGTGGCCACCTTAAAATTTACCCAGAACGCCAAAAATTTAGTCAGTTCTAGTTCTAGATGTAAACAAGACTTTACAGACAAGATTTCAGGATGGAAAATCCAAAATGGCTGCCTTAACATTTACGCAGGATGCAAAAAAACTAATCAGAGGTAGATTTTCATACAAAGAATCATCCCTGAAAATTTGAAATTGATCTACCAAACAGTTCACCTGAAAACGAGTAGACAAGACTTTACAGGCAAGATTTTAAGACGGAAAATCCAAAATGGCTGCCTTGACATTTACACAGAATGCAAAAAAACTAATCAGTTCTAGATTTTCATACTAAGAATCATTCCTGAAAATTTGAAATTGATCTACCAAACAGTTCACCTGAAAACGAGTAGACAAGACTTTACAGACAAGATTTTAGGACGGAAAATCCAAAATGGCTGCCTTGACATTTACCCAGAATGGCAAAAAACTAATGAGATCTAGATTTTTATACTAAGAATCATCCCTGAAAATTTGAAATTGATCCACCAAACAGTTCACCTGAAAACGCGTAGACAAGACTTTACAGACAAGATTTTAGGACGGAAAATCCAAAATGGCTGCCTTGACATTTACCCAGAATGCCAAAAAACTAATGAGATCTAGATTTTTATACTAAGAATCATCCCTGAAAATTTGAAATTGATCCACCAAACGGTTCACCTGAAAACGCATAGACAAGACTTTACAGACAAGATTTTAGGACGGAAAATCCAAAATGGCTGCCTTGACATTTACCCAGAATGCCAAAAAACTAATGAGATCTAGATTTTTATACTAAGAATCATCCCTGAAAATTTGAAATTGATCCACCAAACGGTTCACCTGAAAACGTGTAGACAAGACTTTACAGACAAGATTTTAGGACGGAAAATCCAAAATGGCTGCCTTGACATTTACCCAGAATGCCAAAAAACTAATGAGATCTAGATTTTTATACTAAGAATCATCCCTGAAAATTTGAAATTGATCCACCGAACGGTTCACCTGAAAACGCGCAGACAAGACTTCACAGACAAGATTTTAGGACCGAAAACTCCAAAATGGCCGACAATAAAAAAGTCCTTATGAGTTTTTGCTGATTTCTTTTTACAAATTTATCACATATAACTACTGTTAACAATAAAGTAGGCTTTTACAACAAAGTACATCTGAAATTATTTATAAAGCTACTAAATTGTTAAAGTATGAAAACTCAAAAACACCATTCAATATGATACAAAGTATTATCGTGCGCTAACTTTTCTTAAGACATTCAAAATGGCTGACAGACAGTCAGACGCGCCTAGGCCGACAATATGGCCCCACACTATGTGGTGGGGACATAAAAATCCATTTACCATTGGATGTGGCACCATATCTCATGGTTGATTTAAAAGCCATAGTCTGTTGAATGTAAAAATACCAATTTTACTTTGGCGTGATATTGTATATGAATATTACAGTAACTATAGAACAAATAGAGGTCATTTATGATGAGGTAAGCACCAATATATTGCCTGACATATAAAACCCATATTAATTCCCAATCAGGAAATAAGTATTTTATCAAAATGGATTGTTTGAAAGTAACTAAATAGAAGAAAACCAAGTGAATAAGATTCCAGTACAGGGGATAAATGGGTGAATGTGGTTTTTCAATAGGTTTTCAATATCAATTACTCAGATGCAAGTAGGTAGTTACCAGTTTCGCCACCAGGTGCCTGATTCGGGGGAAATAACATGGCAGGGTATTACAAAGTTCCCTTAAACTTGAATATTCATCAGTTTTAGTGGTTCACTTTTCATGTTACCCTTACGAATCTGATCTGAAATTTAAATATGCCAAGTAAAGAAAAATGTTATCTGCCCAACACAAGAAAAGATATTTCACTTTTTGTGTTTTTACAACATGGGGTCTATGGGGAATCTCCCCGACCTAAATTTTTATTAAAGTTGATAAACTCTTTTCAAAACCACATTTCTAGATGTAATTTTACATGTAGATTCCAAATATGACATCAGTTTGACTGAATCTTTAATTTTTTATGACGTAAATCAAGATTATTTCTACTCGCACCTAGTCTATTGTATTCATGTTGTTATTTCCTGGGAAGTAATAGTATAATTGGTATAAAATATTCAGTATATGGAGTACTTCAAATTACACTGGTCAACTTTAAAGGCAGAGTCAGATCTATGGAGGTGACAAAATTACAACAACATGTACAGTTGACCTACCAATCTATTCATTACAATCTCAAATACAATATCTCCCAAAAGATTATGATATGTTATAAATTGACGAAGTTATCATGGATTCAAAGTGAAAAAATGAGGGAAAAATGTTTAAATTCTCCCAAATAATATAGAAAATAATACATTACTGTAAAACCTTTTGTTTTCTTGAAATAAAGTGTGCACTTTGGGGATTTTAAGAAAACAGACATGACAAGGAATGAAATGAGCCAGAAATATTCTAAAATAGAAATAATTTTTGTTGGCCAGCTCGCTAGATCTGATTCTCTCTTCAAGAAACAACTAACAACAACTCTTCACAATTAAGCAACAAATAAACAATATACATACATGTGTACATTCAATCTATATTTGTTCCAATATATACATTGTTATACAAAGCAATAAATAATGATAACTCTTAATAAATATAAAGATGCACATGTACCAATTAGAAGAGTTTAACAGTGAGTCCATAATATTCTGAGGTATTAAAGCAATTTACATTTTGTCTCCCACCTTGAGTTGAAAGCTGGCTCTGACTTGAAATACATTGTACTAACTCCTAAAAGGCAATTTAAAATATGACTAAAATAAAACAATTCCACAATGAATGTATTTGATAACATTGTCCTTATATCAGAAATGTGAAAACAGTTTGTCTTGCTCTTCATGGTATCTGTGTTAAATCTTAACTGCACACGGTCAGTGTGATGTCACACTGGAGCCCATGTGACCTGCTCCAGCTGTATAAATATGACATCATTGGTCCTGAAAATGTGACTTTTGATGTCAGTGTTCACATGGAGTCCAAATGTGACTTTTGATGTCAGTGTTCACATGGAGTCAAAATGTGACTTTTGTTGTCAGTGTTCACATGGAGTCCAGATGTGACTTTTGATGTCAGTGTTCACATGGAGTCCAAATGTGACTTTTGATGTCAGTGTTCACATTGAGTCAAAATGTGACTTTTTATGTCAGTTTTTACATGGAGCCCAAATGTGACTTTTTACTTCTATGTTAATGTTACTATGCAATCTATTGAGACTGTTGAGGATATATTTGCATAATTGTAAGATTGAGAAATCTGCATTGAGTTTTCAATATTGGCAGACAAAGAAACCTATTTTATACAGGCTTTAAATTAACAGCAACATGACTAAGAATCAGACATCTTACTGATCACAATTTGGTATTAAAGATAAAATAAAACTGTTTTGTTAAAGCTGTTGTAAAATCAGCAGGGCCTGTATTCATTGTTGATTGAAGACCAAATAATGCTTATTCATCTTAACCCTTTCTCTCTCTATTTCCTACCAGCAATAAAAGAGACTGAATTGTTGAATCATTTATCTATTGATATTATTGATATGTCTGTTATATAACTCACTAAATGTAATTGTAAATACATGTCTACATCACAGAGTATAGTCAATGAAAGACTAGATGCTAAAATACAAAGCAAGTCATAAAACAATCATTATGAATTTACTATTTTGTAATGAAAAGGAGACACATCCCTTCCTTAGAGTATGTCCCCTATGTTTCTCAAAAGAGCATGTCTGCTACAGAAGACTAAAACTTTTAAGATATGCTAATATTATGCATTGTGTTATGGACAAAAAAGTCCATGATTGTACACATACACCTTCTACAATGCTTTAAAATAATACATACATTTACTACAATTATGTACACATATGCATTTCATGTCCTTTGGAGCCTTAGGTGAGTTCGGTCAGCCTTCAAGTAGCATGGGGAAGACAAGCAGATACCAGTTATGATACATTAGTTATGATACACTTAGGTTATAATGTGAAGAATCAACTCATACATCACTGTACAAAATATACAATGTAAATCTACAGGCTTTATAATTAACAAGAACACAGAGTGGACAATATTGCACCCTTGAGTAGTTCATCACTAAATGACACCCATTAGCAACAAAATAAGATATAATCATTTGCTTTTGAGGAATTTTAGGAGATTGAAACTGTAAATGTGATAGGAAAAACCCAGAATGGTTAAATTGAATTTACCAAGCAGGCCCAAAAACTGACCAGTTGTCATAGCGATAAACATTGGTGCTATAAAAAGCTAATGAAATTTAAAAAAGCAGAAATGAGTATAAACAGTACACATGTTGCAAATTGTTGAATGGAACTCTAAGTTTAAATATCCAGTTTTGTCCAGTAATGTTAGTGCTACATCTAAGTTACTGCAATATGGTTGGTATGGCAACATACATCCAGTTGTTTTGGTTATAATGAATTATACAACTTCATATTGAATACATTTGAATTGCTCTGCAGGGATACTGTTCCAATGGTTATAAATAGGGGTGAGACTAGTCGAAAAAATCTGATTCGAGTCGAATCCGATTCGAGTCAGAAAATGACGATTCGAGTTTCGAATCCGTTTCGAGTCAGATAAAGTGCGAACAACATCGCTTTTGACCGTTCGTATTTTTAATGCGTCAATGGTGGAAAGCCGGAAATATAAACAAACACAATTCGTCGTAAGTTTATTCTGATTTTATTACATATATTCTTTCATTTATGTGTACATACAATATAATAATTTAATACAAGCATATCCAAGTCATTGAAACTTATATATTCAACGCAATATCGAGTAAAAACATGCATATTGACAGTATTTTTCTGAATTTTTTTATTTTTTCGAATTTTTTTCTCAACTCGAAAATGATTCGATTCATCAACTTCGACTCGATTCGACTCGACTCGAAGCCCCAAACCCGCGAGTCCTCGACTCATCGGGTTGTCGTCTCACCCCTAGTTATAAACTACCATGGTGACTATATTTAAGGCATACAACGTTGCCATGGTGACTATATTCAAGGCATACAATGTTGCCGAACATTGTGTTGAAAAAATTCCAATAAAAATCAATCATCATTACCATGGTAACTGTAACTTCATCTTGGTACCTCCCTGAAATAAAAAGAGAAAGAAGTCAATGTAAAGTCAATTTTAGTTAAAGGTTAACAATAATATTGTTCAATTAAATGTTAAAGGGAACTTCCTTGAGCCTATTTCCACCTTGATATGGTTTATTTCATTGGTCCACAGCAGAATGATACTAAATGGAGTCATCATTTTGACAGACATTTTAATATTACAATTTTTTTTACAATATAACTCATTTGGGTTTCACCAATTATAAGTACATGTAGAAATAGGAAAGATAGACAAAAACGGGAAAAATAGACAGACAGAAAATGGGAAAATCAGCAGCCACCAACAGTTTCCATAATTCTAAGATTCTATTGTTTGGCTCTGATCCGGATCTGGATCCTACTTTAATGATATGTTGCTCCATTATCCTTTGTTCAAACCCTTTCAAATAGACATTCAAATGGCATGATGTTGTTAACATACTGACCAATTTTCAAGTTCATACTCTGTACACAGGGTTAAGATTTATGAAATAAATAAATTGAATTGAAAAATGTAAACATCCTGTCAAAAACACACGTTCCAGACTTCCAGTGACCCATATTGCATCACCTGTCACATGTAGAACATATGTTACCCGTGTGATAATCCTTAATCAAGTGCTATCTTGAGAAATTGTTTGGCTTTAGTGTCAAAGAAACTCTTCTGCCAGACAGACACAGGTTTTGTTTAATTAAGATTTTTTCTCTGCTGCAGACAAGGAATTAATTGCAAGATGTTTCAATGAAAAGGGTTGGAGGGGCAAAATTGCGTAAGAATGCCTGTAGAAAAGGTGGATAAAATATCCATAAAGAAAGTCTTTGATCAGCAAGTTGAAAGGACAAGATCTGTAGAAAAGAAGTCAAGCAATGGACAACCAAAAACTGTTTGTTCTTAAAGAACTGGGATTTAAATTGTATAAGGGATGATACACAACAAATGAACTCTATATATGTAAAAGCTACACAGCAAATGATCTGTATACTAGTACCTTAAAGAAAGTAGAAGATACACAGCAAATGGATTGCAAACCTTTTAGTATGTAAAAACTATACAGCAAGTTAACTGTAAACCTTTAAGCATGTTAAAGCTGCACAGTAAATGAACTGTAAACCTTTAACCATGTAAAGGCTACACAGCAAAATCAATTTTATACCTTTAAGCAATTGTAAAAGCCACACAGCAAATGAACTGTAAACCTTTCAGCATGTTAAAGCTACACAGTAAATGAACTGTACACCTTTAAGCATGTAAAAGCTATACAGCAAGTTAACTGCAAACCTTTAAGCATGTAAAAGCTACACAGCAAAATCAACTTTATACCTTTGAGCATGTAAAAGCCACACAGCAAATGAACTGTACACCTTTAAGCATGTAAAAGCTATACAGCAAATGAACTGTAAACCTTTAAGCATGTTAAAGCTGCACAGTAAATGAGCTGTAATCCTTTAAGCATGTAAAAGCTACACAGTAAATGAACTGTAAACCTTTAAGCATGTTAAAGCTGCACAGTAAATGAGCTGTAATCCTTTAAGCATGTAAAAGCTACATGGTAAAGTAACCATAAACATCCAAACAAATCAAATCCACTCAACAAGCTAAGATATGCTATAACACATGCCACCTATTACCAGTAAACAAACATTTATCTATCTGTTACCAGGGTCTTTCACAAGAAGGCTTCAAACTGCAACATGCCAACTTAACAGAAACCAAATACAATTATCATAAGAACAAGAATAAAATTTATGCACTTAATCTCTAGGAGTCTAGGAGCAAACCAAAGAAAACCATCAGCCTACAAAGACTTACAACACCGATGCATGCTAAATCTTGACACATGAATACCTGATTAGGTGTTAAACAGTGGAAAGAAGGAAAGCTGACACTTGTTAGAGATCGGAGCGTGTCACTTGCCAAACTATTAAATGACTCCTATCTCCTTTGCTAATTGACATCTTTTCCTTTTCTCCCTCCCCTTGTGAAGAGCTCCCCTCATCCTCATCATCTGTGTCTCCTGAAAATGAAAAAATGAAATCATGAAATATGCAAGCTCATTTATTTTAACATATGAAGTCTCGTCAAGAAGAACAATAATACTGCTTGTTTGTCAAAAATGTGATGTTTTGATGACAAAAAGGCTGATTTCTCCAAAAGGGTCCAGAACCAATCATGTAAATTACCAGTATGGATTTCCATAAAATGGAAATGAAGAATAGTTGAGATAAACGGCAGTTTTCATCTGTCTGAAAATTATTGAAAAATGGACAAAGGGAATTTCATTCTGCGTTTTCATCTACTAATATATGGATAGAAGAATAGACATCTGAGCCAAAAAAACAGTATCAGAGTGCAAAATGAAATCTGTACCTATTCTAAAATCGACATAACCCTCTCCTCCAGACATGACCAGGACATTCCTGGACTGGTTGGTGATTCCCTCTGGCTTGGCCAGTTTGCTACTTGATCCGTCAGTCACCTTACTAGAGAGGCCTTTCTGGGCTGCACCTTCAAAATATGAAGTTTCATGTACTACAATTTTAAACAAATTACTGCTAGTGAGCTATAAGCAATCATTTCTAACAGATTTTGATAAGAAAATAGATGTATTCATATTTACATGTAATTCTTTATCAATATTCATTTAGTTACTCAGTGTTGGAAACTTGAATTCCCATTGTACGCAATTAAATTGTGATCTTACAAGCATTAAAACATATGGGTTATACATGTACAGTGTATATAATATGCCACACAGTTGAAAATCTCTATACATCCTGTCAATAGGTTGAACTATTGTCATATTATTAGGACCAAGTTAAAAACACTGAAAACAGCCTGGATATCAATGAACATGATAACCACATGGATAGCAGCTACATTTTGAAAATCATTTCTTTGCTAAACTTCTGCTATTCTTATATTGACTTATAACAGGGGGTATCATATTGACTTATAACAGGGAATATCATATTGACTTTTAATAAGGGTTATCATATTGACTTAACAGAAGGTTTTCATATTGACTCATAACAGGAGTATCATATTGATCTATGGGGTATCATAGTGACTTTTAAGAATATTCTTAAAAATGCATAAAATGCTTAAAATCAATGATTGTATCATACATACAGTAATAAACAGCACTTACCTGGTACAGCAACAAAGAACTTGACTGCATAAACAGCACTTACCTGGTACAGCAACAAAAAACTTGACGGCATCTTTATGTCCGTGGAATGACAGTTGTGCCTGGGCCATAGAGCAGTAGGGGATGAAACTGCCTGGAGTGATATTGTCCGAGTTGGCATCACTATAGACACGGACGACTCCACCTGGTTTGCCTCCCTTGCTATCAGGCATCAAGTGCTGCTTTGCAGCTACAAGTAGAGTGTAGCAACACATATTATTCAATGTGTATCAAACATTCAAAGTGCATCATGCATGGTACTGAGACAGGGGTTTCATTAGCAGCAGGCAACATGCGATTTTCACCGGTCGTCTGCACAAAATTGCCTGTTGTTTTTAGGGACTGTCCATGTTAGATTTATGATTTCCATTAATTTTGCCTGTTGTTCTCATTTATTTAGCCTGTTGTGAGAAATTCTAGTGAAACCCCTGCGAGAGATGGAAACATGGGCTTAAAGGTGTTTAGAATGATACTTTGTAATGTCAGAAGAACTATTAGTTATGAAAATGATCAAGATGAGTTTATATAATGCGGTACTTTGTCTATATTTATATTCAGACTCAATATGGTTTCAACTGCCACCAAACACATAGTGCAGCATTGAAAGTTAAGACATACAAGCCTGAAAACATTGACAAGTATTTATGACATGAAGGATAAGGCTAGCACGGCACAATGGACATCATATAGAAGGGTGGTAGGAGGCACTTTTACTCTGCTTCATATTTCTTCAGATATGTTGTGCTAAAGCTATTTTAGTGAGGACCCTGCGAAGGGGTGTACTAAGCCAAGAGGTCTACCAAGAATCTGAGTTTACTTACATGAAGCTGCCTCACACATTATGACTGGCAGTAGAAAGAAAGTTTTAATTGTCAATGAAGCAAAGAATCAGTTAACTGAAGTGTAAAATGTTATATTTGGTATTCCTCTTTCAATTTTGTGAGTTATGACTGGCATTTGCCAAAGTACAATGCTTGACGAATTAAATACAGCATTTGATATGCGTGTTAGTGCCCACATATCCTCATCCAGATACATGAATGTCATGACTTACTGCTATATGAGTGAATCACTCCATTACTTTCACCTAGTCTCAAGGAAGTAAAATAATATACAAACTGTACTGATAACAAAACACAAGGCACAAAGTGATAAATATCGCACTTTGAAGAGCAAAATGGTCACATGCTGAAAATCTAATCAAATCTTGGCACTTTTCTGCTCTTACATCTGTTAAAACGTGCAAAAGATAAGCTAATTTCCTGGAATTTCGATGACAAGACAATTTAAATATAGCAATATTTCAAAGTGCGATAAAAATATAATTAAATGCTGTTGATCAGATTGTCTATGTTCATATCAAGGCATCTTTTACAATCAAAACATTCTTATTAAAAAGATGCCTGCAAAATACTGAAATGCATATGATTGTTTCCCATGTTTGATTGAGGTGAAAATAATTATCTCGTGAGACCTCCAGGAATGGCAGAATGGCTTCCCCTCCCCAAATCGGAAAAAAACGAAATAAAATAAAAAATAAATAAAAAAACAATAAAAATAATAACTTAATTTTGAGTTGAAGTTACCTTAAAATGAATCAGTAGATTGTTAATTACAGCATATGAGCGAATAACTGGAAATTCTAATGAAGCATGATACATAAGTCCATAATATAACACGATTCATCTTTCTACAAGGGTGCATGAAGGCATTTTCAGAGTTTTACCATGCATCATAGATAAAGCCATTATATTTTAGCCATTCGCTACTTTGTCAACTAAAATAATATAAAGGCACTTACATTCAGAGAGAGGCACAGAGATGACAACACCATTTCCTGTACCAATCCAGAGTCGATTACACCCGACCAATAATGATGTGATTCTGACAAATGAGAATCCCAATTTCCCTGTACCTGAAAAGAATACATAATGTTACTTTACTAAAGCAATCATAGAATTAGGACAAAAACATTAAAATTAGGAAAGACAATTAATCAACAATTAAGTTAAATGAAAGTAGTTAGGATAAATATTTATGTACAATACAATACTAAATTGATAAAATCTGTTATTTTCTTTTCAAGAGTCTAAAGTGTATGTACTAAAATTTCCCAAATGTTCGTTCTTGATGTTAAATATTTTTACGTTTTGCCAATAAATTCTGACTCAAGTAAGTTTGGCTAAGATTATTTCTAAATTCTATGAAATAAAGCAGCTGCCAAATCAAACCAAGTAACATATAAATGATGAGAATATATAATGTTACTAAAGACAACAGGTAAACAAAAATATGATTAAACACTAAACATTAGATTTTGTTGGCAAATATAATGTTACTGTGCTATTCAAAGATGTCTGTATATGACACTCTCTCATTATAGAAGTGATTGAGTGGACCCCAATAAGAGCTGTCAAGAATATGTACTATACAAATAGCTCCTCCAGGCCCATAGCCAGGATTTGCCAAGGGGTGTTGACTTTTTAAAAAGTTCCCGGGGGGTTCACGATAGACAATTTTGGCCAAATATGGCCGAAATCACTTGAAAAGTACTCAGAATGGAGAAAAACTGCATGATTTAGAAAGAATATTTGGCCAAAGGGGGGACCCCGTGGCTACTGGCCTGGGCTCACTTATTATAATGCACAAATACCATCCCATAGACATCTTATCCACACAGTCATATTATATTAGTAATATTAAGAGATTGATATCGTTTTGTTCTTATCATCTTTTGCAAAAGACCTACGATTGTTTGCTACTAATAAGTCAACCATAGCTCTTCCAAAATATCTAGCTACAACTTTGCTGTCCATTTCATAAACTGTAATAAAATTCATTAAACACTGGGGTGTTAATGCGGAAGTTATCAAATAGACAATATATGGATCGCTCTATATGCATTCACAGTGAAGATTTAAAGTCAATCTAAATGTTAACTAAGTCAATGCAAATAACAGAAGTGTAACAATTGTTACAGACACTGATTTCTAACCTCAAACACTAAATGCAGGTCTCCAAAATGGTGGCCATAACAATATGTCACCATTTCTTGATGAACTTGAAAGAAAACAGATTATTTTGTTCTCTTAATAATCAGATAAAGCCAGAGAAAGAACACAGAACCAGTATGTGAATTTGGTATAAGACATAAAACAATTGGAAAAACTTACCAAGCATTTTGCTAACATAAGGCTCAATGTCTACATCTTGTAAGTGTTCAAATGTGTAAGCGTGGTAAAGCCTGAGGGTACTGTCTAGGCGAATTGAGACCCACACTCCATCTCCTACCCAGGCTAATTGACGCACCTGACTCTCCTTACGCGGATGAGCATCAAATGTTCTCTGAAACAATCAACATAATTATGTAGATCAAAAGTGAACTTTCTATAAAGCTATATACTCTTGAAGCTTGAAACTGCAATGGGTTTTCAAAAGAAAGCCCATAAAATAATCTAAGAATTTAGTCTAATTCCATAATCAGGTAACCACTTTAAAACCTTGTAACTCAGATATAAGCATAAAACTCCTACCTCCAGTGCCAATGTTTTTGGGTTGACCACATGTATTTTATTGCGGTAACCGCACCACATGGTCTTATTTGCCACAACAGTCATACAGCGAATAGAATGATGCGGCCTTCCCAGATCCAGAAGATGGTAGTTCTTCAAGTCCCACTGGCCATCTGCAATAACAAGTTTATTCATCAAGGTTATTTTTAACCTTGTCACTCAGAAGTATATTCCTATGATCAATAAATAACTTAGATTTAACTTAATCTTGCTACATCTAATTTTCAAAGAAACATAATTCTGCTAAAATATTTGTAATCATCCTCAATCAGGCTTCACTGCTGTTGAAGCTATAGAAAAATGTGAATCATTTGGAATACTTGAAATCCATTTTTTCAAATACTTGAAATCCATTTGATAATGACCTCAAGTTTACAAGTTTAGCAGGGCAATCTGACTCACATTTGTGAGCCTTTGTGTATTATTTTTGTTCTCTATGTATGTAATATGTAATAAAATCTGACCTGCGTCCCTATGGAAGACTGCAACTGTACCATCAGCCAATGCAACAAACACCCTTCCTTTAATGTGCCTGCAACAACAAGGGATCTCCAGGAATTATATATGGATATCTATATCATTTCTACAGAGCAAGAAGTAAGACAATCCTAAATGTTCAAAACTGATCAAATTGGGTTGATGGAATTTGAATATTGGCTACTTACACAATGTGCAAAACAGAGTCTCGAAGCTTGACGGAGTGCAAACATCTCTTCCATTGCCTCACTGCAGAGTGGACATATAGACTGAAACAAGATGTCATAAACAAAATTACATCAGAAAGAAGCAACCAAAAAGTTAATAAACTGACTTGGTACCCTCTAAAATGTGTAAGAATTTGAACAAGATCCGACAAGCTGTTTTTCTGGAATGGCAATATGGTGAGTGAATTTTAGAATGGCTCACTGAAAACAAGATGGCCACCCAAAGATTAATCGGCTTTAGAACTTGGTCATCTGTAACATGTGTATGATTTTGAGAAGGACATTAGGGATTTTCTTTCATTTGGAAACATCTGTCTACAATTTCATAATGCTTTGTATTATGAAAAACTGATCCTCAAAAGGAATTCCTGTAGAAACCTAGGTGCTTTAAAATGTTTATTATACGTGTTTATTTCATTTTACAGAAGATCATGTATTGCACAGTACAAATATACCACCTAAATTAAAAACCATGTTGCCAATAAAACCTTTTTGACGTGAATGTGTGACTTGTGTGTACCTTCCACTTTGTGAGCCCAACCACATGGTTGGCAGCATACTGCTCATCTTCTCTGCTTCCTCTGTCACAAGCTCCTTGTCAGCAGACATTGTGATGCCATCTTTCACCTGCACATTACAGAGAGAGGTAATTAGGCATATGTCTATATGTCTATAAAATCTGAGCCAAATCCATCCATCTGTATTTGAGTTATTGCCTAAACATATATATGTCTGGGCAGTTATATAAATCGACAGACTTCTTCTTTATATCTATTAACATAATTATAGGATATCCTAGGATATGAGGCCCAACCCCCTCCCCCTTTTGTGAGCCCAGAAAAAATTTCGAGCGGAATTGAGTGGTTTGGGAGCCCCAATAGGATTCAAAACATCAAAAATATTTGTCTACAAATTCTCGAGTTTTTGAGAGAAATAGTGAGAATTTCAACTAAATAATTGTTGACAAACTGTGTGACCACACAAGGAACATACGAGTGGAACAAATAGTGGATTATAATTCAACTGTCTTTTCAGCAGGTATTTTGACATTTTATGACTTCAATATTATTATGTGCACACACATAAAACATTTGTATATGGAATACATACAGTGGCTAATGCCTGGGTCACATTTGCTGCGATTCATCGGCTGGCGCCCGGCCGATTGAGTATTTTGTTCCAAACTGAATACAATTTTGAACAAAACACTCAATCGGCCGGGCGCTGGCCGATGGATCGGAGCAAATGTGACCCAGGCATTACTAGTAGCATATTAACTATTCCCCTCAAATAAAAATCAGTGAGGCCTCCAAAGGACTATTCTGCAACACTAAGCTATATTGGTGGTTAACAAAGTAAATTATGGGTAACTTGCGGAAATCGTATACATCAATCCCCACTTCATGGGATGAGGATGAGAGTATAATAGTATCACCATCGCCAAAGCGCGTAAACCAGGAGAAGGAAGTCAGTTCTATTTATTATGATGAATCATTGTCACAATCTATTGAAGAAGTTGACCAAAATAGAGAGTGATCATACATACCCAGACCTGAAATAAACATTGGGCTACTCAATATTTGTGGCCTAGCTAATAAACTACCTTTCCCAGAAACCATAAATTTCATCAAACAATATGATATTATTATTATTCTGACACAAAAACTGACAAAAGCAATGATAAAAGACTTGATGATATTGTCTCAAAATTTGGATATAGACTTAAATTAAAAAACAGAGCAGCATTGTCGAAAAAGAAATCTGGTGGGATCGGAATTATTGTGAAGAGAAATTTATTTGATGTAATGAAATTTATTGATAGTGACTCAAATTATGTAATGTGGGCCACATTACCACAAACTCACATAAGCAATAAGTATGATTTGCTGATTGGAGCTGTGTATGTACCTCCGTATAATACCAAATACTCAAAACTGGAAGCATTCAATGAAATTGAAAGTGAAATCATGATGCTGAGAGGCAATAAGGAAATATGTCTTTGTGGGGACTTCAATGCACACACAAGCAATGTATTACATATTCTTGAATATGAAACTGGTGGAGATTCTATACCCTATATTGAAACTGAGATTATTTGTAATAGCGCAAATGAAATAAAGGACACCTTACTACACTTAATATGCCTATTATTTGCGTAAGTGTGGATGTGAAATTAGATTTGTATGGGACTCGACTGATTGAACTATGTAAAATGGTAATAATGAACAGTCGATGTGGCCTCAACAATAAGATAGGAAAATCAACAACCAGAGAGATTTCCGTAATTGTTACCGCATCTTTACTGTGCGAGATAAATGAATTTAAAGTGTGTGCTTTTAATGGAATAATATCGGACATACATTGTGGAATTGACTTTAACATCTCAGCCCCAATACAGCACAAACCCTCTGATTTACAACCTGGAATTAATGAACCGGCAAATCTACAAAAAAGACCGAAAAGATGGGAAAGTAATCAATCCACTTATTTTTGTGAAAACATTGAGGATTCAATGGTGGATACTATTACTGAAAAACTAAATGCAAATACAATCACCACTGAAAATGCAGCTGAATCAGTAAATGAATTATTTTATAATGCTGCAATTACAACATTTGGTGCAGTGTCAAGGAACCAGAAACCTTCAAGGCTGAAAAAGAAAAAACCTTGGTACTCAAATGTGTCAATCCCATAGAAAAAAATATCATAAATGCAAAACACAATTTTATCTTAATAAATCTGACTCTAATAAAGTGGCTTTAATAAATTCACGTAATTCATGCAAGCAAGCAGCCATTTGAAAGGCAGGAACACATTTCAAGAGAAAACAGATCAAAGATCTAAGAACTCTTAAGAGTAATAACAGTAGAGTCTATTGGGCTATTTTGAATGAGAAAAAGGAACTGGAATGTAAGGCATCTCTAGATTCCTACATTTTTCAAAACATTCAACAATGATAATGTTAATTGTCAAAATAATAATGTTAACATGAATGATGATATATTAAATAACAATTTAATAGATTGTTCTGATCTGAATTGTCAAATTACACCTGAAGAGATCAGGATGATAGTTAAAACTTAAAGATGGGTAAAAGTCCGGGTGATGATGGTATAATTAATGAATATATTAAGTATTCAATTGATAAGTTAATACACCTTTATACATTGTTATTCAATAAAGTTTTAGCAGAGGGCGTGGTACCAGAATCATGGCTTATTGGTATATTCAAGAATAAATGTATTCTTTTGCAAATTAAAGAGGAAACACACTTTTATCGTGCCTTGGAAAGTTATTTAGTGCAATTTTGAACAAACGACTGTATTTATTTATAGAGAACAAGTTATGCAACGTGAGGTGGGTGTCATTTTTGTGTCACCCTGTATACGGAGTGTTTGTGTTACCTCCAAACCCTATGTATTACCAGTGATATATGGAATAAACCCACTGTCCTCTTTCTGAGGAACCATGTACATTTCATAAATAATTGCAATAAAAAACACCCGTCTTATGCGTTATTGTTACTTAAAAGCATGGATTTTGTTTTATACCCTATTTACTTGTAACAGGGTCATAGAAAAATTAAATCATGTTAGAAGAACGCAGGAATTTTTTTGCACTATTGCTCTAAAAACTTATCATCCTGGTACCCCAAATCAAACATATGAATGTTAACTTTCCTCCTTTTTCTGGCAACTTTGTTGACATCCTTCACAACTGATGAAAAAATTTAAAATATCATTCAAAATCTCGATTCTTCCAAAGCATGCAGAGCTGATCGATACCATCATATTATAAAAAGAAGGCAGACAAATGATAGCAAAAACACTTGTTTTTGCTTGAAAAATCTGTTGAATTGATTTTGTTTTGTGAGAAATATAATTGAATTTTAAATCATGATTCATAAACAGATGTTCAAATATTGGAAACATAAAACACATATTTCCTTGGTGTTACAAATGATAAGAACTTTAGTTCAAAGACCGTATAAAATCAGTTGAAACTAAGGTTTCTCAAACAATATTGGAGAATTAAGTGTATACACTAATTACAAAAGACGCATTTTTAAAAATATACGTACTTATCTATTCTCATATTAATTACTGCAATTTGATATGGGGCAATAGTTACAAATCAAATCTAAACAGAATGCTTATTGTTCGACTTGCATATAATAAAAATCAACAAACCCACTCAACTCCCCTATTCAAGGATCTTGGTATTCTCAACATCTTTGGAAATACACATTAAAACAAGAATGGTAAATTTTTGGGGTAAATTGATACAAAGTAAAGCAACAAGTAGTTCCATTTATAAAGCTATGCTTCAATTACATATAAGGGGTATATACAGCTCACCATGGTTAAGTACAGTAAAAAATATTTTAAATGTCTGTGGATTTTCATATAGACAAGCATAGACAAGAGTTTATATCAAGGGATGCGTTGAAGCATATGGTGAAGAGGAAACTAAATAAAAAATCAATCCTACAGCAATGGCTATCAGACTTATATATATAAATCTAAAACTTTGTTGATACACGGACAAAAAACCTTTGTTGACACACTGACAAAAAACCTTTGTTGACACACTGTCAGAAAACCTTTGTTGACACACTGTTTAAAACATTTGTTGACATACTGACACTGATGTTGAAACACAGTTAAACAAGTATGAGGTTGAACTAGCTCACGAAAGACCGCAATAGACTAGTTTGATATATCACCTTGGAATTCTGTAGTGATAAGTGATGATGTTGTGATTGAAGTTTAATAAATTGGAAACTACAACAGATAATTGGAAACTACAACAGTCTTCAAATACATGAATTGCTAGAATGAAGTTAGAACATAAAAAAACGTTCATTTTAATAACAGCTGCATGGACAGTGATACTGATAGGTGTCTTTCATCATCAACATACAAAAGGAACATCAATTAACAAGAACACTTCAAGGAGAACAATAGTTAAATACAATCAAACAATCCAAACTAACATACCAGGAATAAAATCAAGCATACAACACCAAATGACAAACAAAAAGGAAGTGATTTCAAAATTAAATGGAAAACATGACATAAATAGTCAAAGTCAAGAAACTAAAATATATGAAACGTTTAGGTCAAACAAGACAAATAAAGGAGAAAAGGAAAATAGAAATATCTCAGTTTCTATAACAGAAAGAACTAAAATTATTAAAAGACATAAAATACATGTAAATGACACTAAAGTACTCCAAAGAGTTGAACATTTTCAACACATTGATATCACTAACCTTCGAGTTTTTGTCTATGAGTTGGACCCAAAGTTAAACCTAGATGCAGTAGAATGTCTTAATAAAAGACCAAAAAACTACACACACGGTGTTGCTTGCCACTATGATGAAAATCTTGGCTATGGACGTGCTAATGGAGAATTAGCTAGAGGGGTGAAGACCTTTAGGCAGTGCCAACATGGTATAGAAGTGATATTTCATAACAAACTCTTGAAGAGTCCATTTAGAACAGAAAATCCTGATGATGCTGATTTGTTTTTTGTACCATATTACGCTTCCTTGATTTGCTTCTGCCAAGAGAATGTGAAACATTCAGACACAGCAATTTGGAAGGTACTTAAAGTATCAAAGCCGTACATACAGAAGAAGCCTCATTTCTTTGCCATAGGAGTTCCACAAGGGGATTTATTCTCAAATCCAAAATGGACCCCCCACTGTCATTTTCTAAGGAACAGACCACACTTGGATTTCGTGAAGTATGCACACATTGAGTCCAGTCCTCTGTTAAAAGATGGCGTCGATATACCAAGAGAATCATATATTCATTTCGACACCCCTGATGTAGAGTTACCACGCATCAATAAAGACATTTTAGTCTTCATGGCAGGAAAAACACTTGGAAAGTCCCTTCGGAAAATACTGATTCGACAGTTAACTGATAAACGAGCCAATAATTCAAGGAAAAATGGGACATATTTTGACATGACCAGGGGAAAAAAGTCTTGTTCGGATTCTGCATCAAAGGACATGTTTAAGTGTTTACTCAAGACAGCACAAAGGAGCATATTTTGCCTCCAGCCCCCTGGGGACACCCCGACCAGGAAGTCATTCTATGATATGTTGCTGACAGGGTGTATACCAGTGATATTTACCCCCCACCCGTCATATTTCTACCCCTTCCAGAATCTCATCAAGTATAACTATCCTTTCAATTATGACAAATTTACCATTTTTATCAAAGAGAAACGTATTACTAAACGAGGAGAGAACATCATTGATATATTGTCCAAAATCCCTAAACATAAGATCCGGAGTATGCAGGAACATTTGAAGATGATTGCCAAATATTTCCAGTATGGGACATATGGGAATGGGGAGGATGCCTTCACTATGAGCCTAAGGACAATTCTAACTGCATTCCATATTGAAGGAAAATTTCTAAAGAAACAAACATGAAATCAGATTAAGACATCTAAAAAACTAGGATTACTATATTCATTCAGTAGTTGTTGGGAGTTAACTTCGTTGAATCCCCAAATTACTTTATTCAATAAAGCCTATATGGATGTCCAAATTACCCCCTCTCTGTGTTAAGAAGGTGGTAAAGTATATGTTGACAGTCAGTTAAGTATGTTTTTTGTTGTTGTAATTTTGACATATCTTCTGTATCATCTGTTTCTGGCTTTAAAATAACATTCATTCACATTACCATCTTGGCACAAGGAGGAAACTTACAGATATGTGCTACTTTACATTTCAATGTTAATGTGAATGGTGATCCCAAATCTCTTTCAAACCTCTTAGTCTCTTTTATAATAGGAGTAAATTAGTGTTGCATTGACCTTTTGCGATCAGAATTCAGGTATTTTGTTTATGGATACTGTTGTCATGTATTTCGTCTAATGGGTATCACGTCATATAAAAATGATATTAGACATGATGGAAAGACAAAATGGAGGACACATGGCAGTTTTGAGCTGTAAATATTATCATTTCTTTTATGAAAACCATGGGTCGGATATTTACCAGGTATGCCGATTTGACTAGATCATGAGTCTATCTTTATATGTGTGAAGTTTTGGTGAAATTCATACTAAACATCGATGCCTATAAGCATTTTTGTCAAAATCAGGGGGCGCTTAACCGTTATCTCAATCATGTCAGTAAGATATAAGACTTGGCATGTGCTTAGAATGAATGTTGATCTAGTCAAATCGATCACTCTTGTGAAAAATAAATCAACTAGAAAAACAGCAACTCCACGGAGTAGCAAATCCCACCGAACAAAACATATTTAGATTATTAGTGGCCATCTTGAAAAATCCTTCTTGAACGCTTGTTTGTCCCTAAGCATCACCATATAAAATGTAAACCATATCCATAAATTAAAATTTGAGTTATCAAAGATTACATTCTTTTTTACTAAAAATGGGGGCCAATTCTGCAGTCATTTTGAAAATCTTTCTCGAACAGAGCTATAGTGTCCCTAGGTATCAGCATATAAAATTTGAATTAAGAAAAATGGCAACCATTTTGAAATTCAGCTGCCATTTTGAAAATTCTTCCTCGAACAGAGCTACTGTGTCCCTACTGTGTTCGCTGGTATTAGAGTTATCAAAATTTTATGTTTTTTTTTATGAAATATGGCCACCATTTTGAAATTCAGTGGCCATCTTGAAAAATCATTTTTGAACAAAGCAACTGTGTCCCTAGCAATCACCATATAAAATTTGAACCAAATCCGTTCACTGGTATTTGAGTTATCAAAGATTATGTTTTTTTAACGAAAAATTGCCGTCATATTGAAATAAAGTGGCCATCTTAAAAATTCTTTGTTGAACATAGCAACTGTGTCCCTAGGCATCATCATATAAAATTTGAACCAAATCTGTTCACTTGTATATGAGTTATCAAAGATTACGTTTTTTACGAAAATTGGCCGCCATCTTGAAATTCAACCGCCATCTTGAAAATTATTTCTTGAACAGAGCTACTGTGTCCCTAGGCATAATCATATAAAATTTCAACCAAATCTGTTCACTGGTATTTAAGTTATCAAAGATTACGTTTTTTACGAAAAATTGCCGCCATTTTAAAATTAAGCGGCCATCTTGAAAATTTTTTGTCGAACATAGCTACTGTGTCCCTAAGCATCATCACATAAAATTTGAACCAAATCCGTTCACTGGTATTTGAGTTATCAAAGATTACATATTTTTACGAAAAATGGCCGCCATTTTGAAATTAAGCGGCCATCTTGAAAATTTCTTTTTGTGCAAAACTACATAGTCCCTAGGCATCAGCATATAAAATTTGAACCAAATCCGTCAACTTATATTTGAGTTATCAATGATTACATTTTTTATGAAAAATGGCGGCCATTTTGAATTGAGCGGCCATATTGAAAATTCCTTCTCGAGCAGAGGTCCTACACTCATAAGGCATAAGCCTATAAAATTTGAACCAAATCCGTCAACCGGTAGTTTATTTCCCAGGCTGGTAACTCTGTTTGTTGCATCTTCCAGTTGACTGCAGATTCTTGAAATCCTTATTATTTGTGATATAAATATTCCATAAGACTGGTTTCTAAGAATATTTCCAGATAAATCAGGATATGAGACAGACGGACAGACGGACGGACGGACAAACGGACGGACGGACGGCTTCTTTATATCCCCCTCGAACTTCGTTCGGTGGGATAATAAAGCACGAAATATAGAAGATAATCTCTCAAAATCAAACATCTATAGCTGAGTGGCCTAATTGTGGCGTCACTACATAATAGAATCCATCCTGTGATCGCAAATCATCAATTAAAGAACACAATTATCAAATGATTTGTATTATTTTTCATGAATCTTTGTGATTCTCAGATTTTCATCAAATCATTTCTCTACGAAAATGTGATAAAAAATTGTTTCGAAAAATGAACTGAATTTCTAATCATAAACTTAGGTTAAGAATAGATTTTGAAAGAAACTAGATTAAAATATATGCATCATATACATCCCAAAATCCTGGTTACGGGCATGTATTTGAAAAGAGGTTAAGGAGAGGGGACTTGATTGTAATAATTTGTAATAATTATTATGGCTATTTACTGGTAGTTCAAAAGGGTTGAACACTGTGCTCACTGGTGAAGATATCAATATCCACTTATGGATATAAATGATCTTTTTTTAAAACCATAGGATACACCTGCTTTTGAATGAAAATTCAAGTGGAATCGACAAGCGGTTTTCCTGGAATTTTGACAAGATTTACTTGGCAACTGCCTCCACAAGACACCCTTCAGCAAAAGATGAATTAAATCCAATATAGCACTTTCAAAAAGTGCAATAAAAAACAACTTACCAATGGATTTTGATCCCTAGAGGTGTGTCTGTCTGCATTGACACCATCAGGTTCTGGGGTAGGGGTGGTGTGGCGGGATCTAACAGGAGACCCAGTGGCTTTGTGGATCACACCAGTAGCTATCTCTGGACCTGGGATACAAACATTATACTATTGAAAATGTGTCATGGTCATGTTTAAATGTGCAGTACCATGAAAGTGCCATGTGTAATATTGTGATAAACTGTCAACGTCATGTTTTAATGTAAAATCTCGTGATTAAGTGTCGAGGTCATGATTCACTGGGTTATTTTGTGACAATATGTTATTAGGTCATGCTTTAATCTTATGATAATGCATCAATGCTACATTTAAATGAATAATCTTGTGACAATAATTATCATATGTAATATTGTAAATGATTTCAACATGTTATATTGTGATAAAAGGCTCAAGTAGGCTAATGTAACAGAAGTCATAATTCAAGCATCTAGTATTATAACAATTCATAGATATGCTAAAGAGGTTAGTAACTTAGTAATCAAGTAGACACAAAGATGTACAGTACATGACAGTAGAGAGCTTGCAAGGATTGTAGAATGTTGAATTATAGACATAAAACAGATTCAATAAGAATATGATATGAAGCTTATATGTTGCAAATCATGCAAAGTTCACTTACTTTTAGAATATTCTTCAGCTGGACTTGGCTTCTTTTCACTGACTTCTGTTAGCATTTCAAAACAGAAATATAGCGTGAGTGAAAAGTGGGAAGTGGAGGGGTTAATAACTCTTGTCACACTTACATGCCACTCTGGGAATGTCACACTTACATGTCACTCTTGACAAAGTCACAATGTCACTTCAATTCATGCTGACAGTGCAATTACACATCTATCATGCTTTCAAGATCAAACTTATGATGTCATCTTTTACAAACTTGTACAGCTGCTGTTGTCATACTTACTATGTCACCTCTGTCACACTGACAAAATTTATTCTGTCACACTTCAGGTTTACCACAAGGCATAGTCAACTTTTTATTGATTACACTGAAGTCTGTATTTTCTATCCCAATTTACATGTTTAAATATCACAATGCTATCTTAGGAAATCTTTCTTTTGGCTATTAGAAATTGTATTGAGGTGCTTTGCCTGAATGTCTAATGAGCACCCTGAACTTGAAGAATGTCACACTTGAATGAACTTAGAATGTCACACTTGAAAGTAACAGGAGGCAGGCAGGCATGGCATGCAAATAATGTTAGTCAAGTTAAGTACATGATTGAAAATATGAAAAGGTATTTCTCAAATGGGTTAAATATTTGCATTCAATGGTGTAATGTGATTGAATATAATTTGTAGCAGAAGATATTGTGTGTCATATATACTGTCAAAATTATTTACATAAGGGAAATGGAAGTTCAACATGATTAGAAAGGTAATTCTACATGTAAATTACTATGAAAAATTCAACAAACCTTTCTCAGCTTCGGGGTCCTGTTGAGAGGAAAGTGACTCTATGGCTTCAGTCACACTGGAGATCTTGTCTTTAACATGGTCACTCAGCTCTGCGTGTAAGAACAGGTTAACATCAGACCCTTAGCCAGATGGGGTTCAAAAGATTTGAGAGAACCTCCCCCCCGCAAAGTAGTATTTCAAAATCATCCAGTTTTTCTCAATTCTGAGCACTTTTCAAGTGTTTTGGGCCAAAATTGTCCAATTTGAACCCCCTGGAATTTTTCAAACTGACACCCCACCCCTCGATAAGAGGTAACTACAGGCCTGAACATGGTCACTGAATTCTATATGTAAGAATAGGCTATTAAAAGTGAAGAATAGATGTGTCTAAGAAAATTATCAAAAGTTAAGAATAGATCTAAACGCACTAAACTCCTACAAAATCATGTGCTACTCGTGGTTTTCATCAAACGTTAACAGCAGAGAATAGTTGCACACTTTTATTGTTTCTATTATATAGAAATAAAGAGAAAGAATCAATGACTTATGGTGAAATATAAAACCACACAATTCTCCTGATCATTGTTAAAAGGAATGAAAGAATTGATGCCTCTTGCAATGGGCAGGATGCAATTAATTAAATACACCACAAATCATAGAATCAAGTTGTTAAACTATTGTTGTGAGAAGTAAAGAGAAATATTCTACATACCTGAAACAGGTGGAGAGCCTACAGGGGACATTGGTTTAGTATCACCATCAGGGATAGCTCCAGTAGCACATTGCACCACAGATATACCACCAATGCCCTCTTCCACATCACGGTTGTCACGTAGAGGGTCAATGCTCACATCAGCTGGGGGAGTTTTCTCAACATTGGGAATATCATTATCACTAATGAAGTCTGACTCTGTAGCACCTAGAGTTACAAATGAAAAATGGTTATTATGTTGCACTCTCCCAACGTAGCCATTGTTGATAATGATCAAGTAGAGTTTGTTGTAGAATGGTTATTATGTTGCACTCTCCCAACGTAGCCATTGTTGATAATGATCAAGTAGAGTTTGTTGTAGAATGGTTATTATGTTGCACTCTCCCAACATAGCCATTGTTGATAATGATCAAGTAGAGTTTGTTGTAGAATGGTTATTATGTTGCACTCTCCCAACATAGCCATTGTTGATAATGATCAAGTAGAGTTTGTTGTAGAATGGTTATTATGTTGCACTCTCCCAACATAGCCATTGTCGATAATGATCAAGTAGAGTTTGTTGTAGAATGGTTATTATGTTGCACTCTCCCAACGTAGCCATTGTAGATAATGATCAAGTAGAGTTTGTTGTAGAATGGTTATTATGTTGCACTCTCCCAACGTAGCCATTGTAGATAATGATCAAGTAGAGTTTGTTGTAGAATGGTTATTATGTTGCACTCTCCCAACGTAGCCATTGTAGATAATGATCAAGTAGAGTTTGTTGTAGAATGGTTATTATGTAGCACTCTCCCAACATAGCCATTGTTGATAATGATCAAGTAGAGTTTGTTGTAGAATGGTTATTATGTTGCACTCTCCCAACGTAGCCATTGTAGATAATGATCAAGTAGAGTTTGTTGTAGAATGGTTACTATGTAGCACTCTCCCAACATAGCCATTGTTGATAATGATCAAGTAGAGTTTGTTGTAGAATGGTTATTATGTTGCACTCTCCCAACGTAGCCATTGTAGATAATGATCAAGTAGAGTTTGTTGTAGAATGGTTATTATGTTGCACTCTCCCAACGTAGCCATAATAGATAATGATCAAGTAGAGTTTGATGTAGAATCGTTATTATGTTGCACTCTCCCAACATAGCCATTGTAGATAATGATCAAGTAGAGTTTGATGTAGAATGGTTATTATGTAGCACTCTCCCAACATAGCAATTGTAGATAATAATCAAGTAGAGTTTGATGTAGAATGGTTATTATGTAGCACTCTCCCAACATAGCAATTGTAGATAATGATCAAGTAGAGTTTGATGTAGAATGGTTATTATGTAGCACTCTCCCAACATAGCAATTGTAGATAATAATCAAGTAGAGTTTGATGTAGAATGATTATTATGTTGCACTCTCCCAACATAGCCATTGTAGATAATGATCAAGTAGAGTTTGATGTAGAATGGTTATTATGTTGCACTCTCCCAACATAGCCATTGTTGATAATAATCAAGTAGAGTTTGATGTAGAATGGTTATTATGTTGCACTCTCCCAACGTAGCCATTGTTGATAATGATCAAGTAGAGTTTGTTGTAGAATGGTTATTATGTTGCACTCTCCCAACATAGCCATTGTTGATAATGATCAAGTAGAGTTTGTTGTAGAATGGTTATTATGTTGCACTCTCCCAACATAGCCATTGTCGATAATGATCAAGTAGAGTTTGTTGTAGAATGGTTATTATGTTGCACTCTCCCAACGTAGCCATTGTAGATAATGATCAAGTAGAGTTTGTTGTAGAATGGTTATTATGTTGCACTCTCCCAACGTAGCCATTGTAGATAATGATCAAGTAGAGTTTGTTGTAGAATGGTTATTATGTTGCACTCTCCCAACGTAGCCATTGTAGATAATGATCAAGTAGAGTTTGTTGTAGAATGGTTATTATGTAGCACTCTCCCAACATAGCCATTGTTGATAATGATCAAGTAGAGTTTGTTGTAGAATGGTTATTATGTTGCACTCTCCCAACGTAGCCATTGTAGATAATGATCAAGTAGAGTTTGTTGTAGAATGGTTACTATGTAGCACTCTCCCAACATAGCCATTGTTGATAATGATCAAGTAGAGTTTGTTGTAGAATGGTTATTATGTTGCACTCTCCCAACGTAGCCATTGTAGATAATGATCAAGTAGAGTTTGTTGTAGAATGGTTATTATGTTGCACTCTCCCAACGTAGCCATTGTAGATAATGATCAAGTAGAGTTTGATGTAGAATGGTTATTATGTTGCACTCTCCCAACATAGCCATTGTAGATAATGATCAAGTAGAGTTTGATGTAGAATGGTTATTATGTAGCACTCTCCCAACATAGCAATTGTAGATAATAATCAAGTAGAGTTTGATGTAGAATGGTTATTATGTAGCACTCTCCCAACATAGCAATTGTAGATAATGATCAAGTAGAGTTTGATGTAGAATGGTTATTATGTAGCACTCTCCCAACATAGCAATTGTAGATAATAATCAAGTAGAGTTTGATGTAGAATGATTATTATGTTGCACTCTCCCAACATAGCCATTGTAGATAATGATCAAGTAGAGTTTGATGTAGAATGGTTATTATGTTGCACTCTCCCAACATAGCCATTGTTGATAATAATCAAGTAGAGTTTGATGTAGAATGGTTATTATGTTGCACTCTCCCAATGTAGCCATTGTAGATAATGATCAAGTAGAGTTTGTTGTTGAAATGCAGCCATTGTCCCTAACTAACCGTGTAAGCTTTGTTAATATAGTAATATACCCATCCCACATGCTGAAGAAGGCTTAATTATACATGTATTCTATTTTATCCCACCCTACATGCTTTATATGATTGTATAATAGCATTGTATAACTGCAATATAAAACCAACAGTTCAACACTCATCGTATACAACTCTTGAGAACAATATACAACTCCTGGATAGTGTATACAACTCCTGGGCAGCGAATACAACTCTTTGACTTTATATACAACTGCTTATTTAGATAAACTTTTTATTGATTGAAAGATGGCATATGTGTAATTATGATGTACAAGGTCACTTGGAGTGGGATAATAAGATCATATAATGGTTGATTCTGTACATCGTTATACTCTTGTGAGTACATGATATAGTCACTTGTTCCCTTCGGTATATATATGGGTCACTCGTGAATATATCATATACTCACTTGAGTATAGACACGATATACAGAATCAACCATTATATAACCTCATATTATATGACTTTACCTGGTACGCTTGATATGCACAATATATGAGATGACGTGACATGGAAGGATTCCAAGATATCAGCTGGGTTGTTGGCATCAATGACCGTCACGCGACTACTAGCGCTTGTAGTGGTACATATCCACACTAATGATGAGATTGTTTGATTTTCTTCCAAGGCTTTCATGTCTTTCTCATGTTCCTAGAAGTAATAGTTCACAAAACAATGTCATACATATTATACTGTATTCCCGGTATTTTTCGTGTGCGATATAGCGAAATCGTGTTTTCTCAAAATTCGAGAAATTAACCGGGAGTAGAGTATGTGTACAATAGTCTATGGGCTGAGCTTAGCTCTAAAAGACCAGTGAATATTGTTTCTTTTTTAATTTGTTCATCATAGTTTGCTATAACAATAAGCCAATGTTCTTTCCAGAAAATTTTAAATTAAATATTCCTGACCATGAGGAGACAGTTCTGAAAATCTATTGTTCAATAACTCAATTCCTTGCCAGTCTACCTCGTACTTACACTAATTTCATTGTTGAGTTTGTCCAGATCTGTTTCATCAGAAGTATTGTCCTTGTTATCAACCCCAGGAGGAGGGTCAGAGTAGAAGACACTGGCACCAACTATATTGCCACCATCCTTTGTCTTTCCCCCTGTTAGGTTCACTCCAGAGGCACACCATATCTAAATATACAATACAGTACATTCAAAATGGCCACCAAGAAAAAAAAGGTATCGATATGGAGAACTGAATTCAACAATGTTTTTCTCTTAAACCAATCATTGAAAACATTCTGTAAAAAAACATGTTATTTTATGTTATGTTGACTGATTGACAATAATTTAATGCGAAAATTATTCAGAAATATTTTGTATAACTGTTTTTGTTAACATTTTTTGTTTTTTTAGTGCAATTGTTTTTGCTCCTTTCTACCAATTCTTGAGAATGATATAAATGTCTTTCCGAACCTTGTTGGAACAAAATAGCATAAACAACATGTTTTTAGACCTCTCAATATTAAAGTTATTTAGAATTTTTTGTTGATTTTATAAAAGTATTCAAAAAATTAAAACAAAATCCCCCCAAAATAGATAAGAATCAAGAAAAACCTTTTATTTCATTAACAAGATACTTTTTTAAAATCAACCAAAATTTCCTTCGTACAATTACAATATTGAGAGACCTAAACATGTTGTGTTTATGTCATTTTGTTCCAATGAGGTTCGGAAAGATGTTTCATTTCACTCTGGAAACATGATACCAAGAACAAAACAAGTATTTGATGTGTTTTTAAAACAATATAGATGAAAGTATGTATATCTATTTCAAATTATATTGTTACCACTCAAAAGATGGCCATTAAATTGACAATTTGTAAGATTTTCAGAAATTTTTGATGACTGGTTTAAGAGAAACGTGTGTTCAAAAAGTTTGCCATATTGATACCCATTCTTTGCCCAGAATGCCCAATTTCTAATCAGTCATTGGCACTAGCATCTGTAAAATTTTCAAGTTTGACAGGAAAGCAGTTTTCTTAGATTCGGATGACAAAATTTTGGTGGCATCCACCCACTCTGCAGCACAACACCACAACGATATAGCACTTTGAAAAAGGGCGATAAAAACTGAAGTGATCATTTTCATTTCTTGAATGCAAAATTACACCTATGCTTGAAATATGTTGTCTCACCTTCATCCCAGGCTCTTTATCCAATAGAGGGCGACAGTAGACTGGCACAGGGACGGGAACATGACTTTTGTTCTGGGCATCTTTTGTCATTGAAGCCTGGAACTTAGCAGGAAGTGACCAACCATAGGCCTGCATTCTTCCGTCATCTTTCTTCACAATCGCTCTCACTTTCTTGTACTGGTCCCTTCTTTCTTGCTCTCGCTCTCTACGTAACTTTTCTGAGGCACTAGATAAAGATATTTGTAAACATTTAGTGAAATAAGTTTATGAATATTAACTTCTTGACTATCCAGAGTAAGAAATGACCTTGAAACCCAAAAGCAGGCAAAAATGAAAAATTCTCTGGTTTCAACTGATTTTAGAACCCGGGATTCAAGAGATTAAACATATAAATATTCTTAAAACTTACGCATCTTCCCCAAGAAAATCATAGGCTTTTCCTTTATTTCCAAGGTTAAGTTTTTCTCTCTCTGTCTTTGTGGGATCACCTACAGGTTGTAAGTTTGTGGTTGGGGCATTATACCTCACTGTTCCCAAACTTGCCATTGGCTTCTTAGGTGGCTTTTCAGACCCTCTGAACAGGTTACTAAAGCTGAAAAGATTTCGTATGATAAGTATATACAGGAAGTTTTAAATCTTATTTTTAAATCTTTAAAAAAATTCATCTCAATCTTTGTAACAGCAAAAAAGAAACTGGATGACATAACAAAACAATTATGAAAAATAAATCAATATAAGCAGATGAAATATATATTTTAGTCAAAAAGAAGATAAAATGACATAGTTAATAAGTTCTTAATTAAGTTAATCTATATGTATAAGCAGGTAACAAAAAATTATTAGTTGACAAGCAATTAATTCCAACATGTAACGAATCTTAATCAAATGATCAGGACTTAGTTCACTGATCAGTAGAGGTATCCCAAGAATCATTGGCTATCAACATTCTTTCGTGATATTTTTTTGACTGGCATAGACCATTTTTGATAATAATACATGTATTACAATAATGTTCATTTTAACACTTTTTAATCAACACTTCCATTAATTTTTATGACAAAAATGGCCAAATTGTCAGTCAAAAAATATATGAAAAAATTGCTGGAAGCCAACCCTCCTTGAAGCAATCTCATCATAACTTGTTATTCTTCTCCATTCCCACACAGCCCTCTTGAACTGCAGAGCCCAAGATAGGGATAGAAAGATATGCCTACACCTCTTGAAGATAGTTTTAGAGAAGAACATAACCATGAAGTCAGATAATTGACATATTGGCTGCAGAGAATAAATATGTCAACAGCAATGACAATTCAAGTCAGCACAGCCAACCAAATAACAATATTAGTTTGAATAATTCGAAGTTGTTAAGTTAAGATGATTTGAATGACAAGTTCTTGAAGAACAAGTTTGAATTTTAACCTTGAAAAATTTGATGATTAAAGATTATAGCTTAAAGCAATAGTATGTTAAATAATGCTGTTCTTCTTAATATTTGTAATTTTGAACAATTTGGTGTGAGAGCAGAGCATGTCTATCCCTGTAGATGGTAAACATGATTTCTCTAAACTTTCTCTTAACTCCCTGAAATTGATGTTTTACAAATATCCCACCGTTAGCCCTCTTGGATATTCTATATCCATAACTGGATTGCCAAAATGAGAGGGTTTCATTCTTGAGTCACCCTGTAGCATAATGTAGCCCATTACTTCATTCAAAGCTTGCAACACAAACACCACAAGAGGCAGACCTCCCAAAGGATACCACCAATGAACTCTTGTTAATGAATATCACCCAACAAAACTCCATTTCTTAAATATATAGGCCCACATCTCAAAAATACCTCTCATTTTCTTCCTCAAAAGACATCTTGGGTTTTCTTTGTTGTTTGACAAAAGGTTTCATGAGACTGAAATTGTAAAATGTTTGTATCCTCACTGTAAAGAATGCTCACATTAACAGAATGTCACGCATTCATCACATCACTGTCCATTCCCCTTTTCTGTGATAAATATCACAAGACCCTTCATATATGCACTTTTGCCATTCAGTTGATTACTGATTACAATAATAATGATTGTTGCTTTGAGTGTCCTCAACTAAATATTTATGATGAGACTTAGGAATCTCAAAAGTAAAAGAGTGTGTGGATTGTGGAAATGTTTGAGTTTATTTTAAAGCAGCTTTTTCATGAGTGTATGTAATATGTGACTGCAATGAGGAATGATTTGCAATCTCTCAAGTCCTTATTCTCATTCCGGCAAAAAGAACATGTTGTTCTTTTTCTGACAATGTTGTCCCCAACATATCCTCGGTTAACATTCTAAAGGGGATTATTAAGTAATCCTAATTAAATTAAATAATATACAAGTACTGTACATAATAAATGATAGGAACTGTTCTGGGATATTATCGCAAGGAATGTTGTCAATATGTTAACAGTAAAAACCTATAACCTTACTTTCTATATATGGTAGGGCAAGATTTGTATATACCACAACCACATAAGATAAGCTATAAAAAGTTAGAATTGGTGCTGTACAAACTGGTGCAGGAAAATAACTGGGGTTCACAACTTACGCATCAGGGATTGATTGGACATTTTGCCGTCTGAAAGATATTTTATTATATAATTTATGAAGTTTTGATGATATTATTGTTCTTTTTTGTAAAACCATTTTTGATTTTCTGGACAGTAGTTCTAATGTTGATGTACATATGTGGAGCAATATAAGAAATAAATACTGTGATTGCAGCCTATTGGTGTGATATCTCCTTTCCTTTTCAAGAACAACTGACAGAATATTGGTTATCATGTAGGATGACACAAATACAAGTTGTCAAATAAGTCCCCCCCTCTACAACTTAAACCAAGACATATGGTACCTAGTGTGTGATACATCATTGCAAAGATCATTCAAAGTTACATTGATTGATATATAACTGATGCCTGTCATTCAATGTCACAAATTGCTACATTGTATCAATTGAAATGACCATAAACCAGGAAACATGGCAATTTGGCATATTGGACAGAATTTTTAAAAATCAGGCATTCGAAAAGTCAAAGGTTTGTATATGACAGTGAATTTAAACAATTTATGGATGGGTTAGATTTGTAGCATGCATGTAATACAAATAGAGGGGCAATGTATGATCTTTCCAATGGTATATTACACTAGGTAGCATCTATCAAAGATTTAGCTAAAGCAGCAGGGGGATGGGACTTATTTGACACACTGTGTACTAAATTAAGTTATTCTGCTTTTTTTGTGATGAATATCCTTCCAAAAAGTTCCCAGATGTAGGTCAAGAGATCGATTGTGTAATAACGCAGATGCGAGTAGGTAGTTACCAGTTTCATCACCAGGTGGTTCATCCAGGCCAGATAGCATGGCGGGTATAGTAGAAAATTCCCTTTAACTAAATTACATTTGTTTTAGTGGTTCAATTATCATATAACTCTTATGTATCTAATAGTTTTGCAAATTAAAATATGTCCAGTAAAAGAAAATGTTATCTGTCCAATATATTTCACTTTTTGTAATTTTGTAACATGGGGTCTATCCGGAATGAAATGGAACTAGTCACATTCTCAAAAAAATTAAATTTTCAAAGTTGATAAACAATTTTCAAAACCATATTTCTAAATGTACTTTTACATTTAGATTTCAAATATGACATCACTATGACTTAATTTTGAATATTTAATGACGTAATTCAAGATTATTCCTACTCGCATCTCATCTATTTCTATGGTGCATATGTCTGTTTATATCATATAACAAACAAGGAATTTACTAGCTTCTCAAGTAAACATTATCTTATCTTAATCTATTGCCATGGAAACCTGTATTGCCTCAAATTTTAAGATATCAATTACATGCTTGGAGCCTGTTTCTCGAAAATATCGGCAATTACGATTCAGAGATTGATGATTTTTTATTTCGACGATGTTGTCCACGATTTCTAAAAAGCGTTTCTCAAAGCACCCCAATGATGAAATTGTAAATCGACGAATAATTACGACTTTTTACGATGTAGTTGATGGCTGTTTCGTGGCAATATAGCAAATACAGTTTTATTGGCACAATTTTTTAAAATTATTTTTACAGAAGAAGTCTAGAAGGTGAAGTTAGCCTTGATAATGTATTGTAATTGTGTTGCGTTATATTGCATTGTTGTATTGTATAACATGTAACAACAGTCTAGGATCGCACATCGGTAGAAGAAAGTTGAAATTGACATTCTTACTACAATGTGTTTTACAAGTAAAGTGAAAGCTGACCTACGGCCCTCGGGCAGATATATTATATTGGCCTCGGGATAATCCCAATATCCTGAACCTCATATAGGATAATCTCTATATATTCATAGCACTAGCAGAAGATACCCTAAAGTGCCTCAGGTAAAGTTTTCAAAGAATTTGGTTAATCAATTGCTGAGTAATTACTGGTCGAATTGCTTCCAATTTTTTGGTACAAATGCTATTAAGTTCTCATTGTGTTGCTCCGGTATGGGATCTTTTCTGATCTTTTTCATATTTTTGTACCTTGCTAATGATACCCTTGGACTACTTTGTACAGGTTCTCAGTAAAGGACGATTCTCGGTTTGGAGAACAGTCTCCTGGGCTAATAATTTTTTCATGAAAAATATAGAAATATTACCCAAATCAAACTATGAATATCCGAAAGAGGACATTTAAATCTACAAGATGTAAAAATAACAAATTGGTCTGAAGCAGGGATAAGGTTCAATTAGACCGATTCAATAAAATACAAGTCTCGATTTGGGGAAAGAAGTTCATCAGTGTACTGCGCTAATATTTTTTTGCGAAAAATCTAGAAATATTACCCAAATTAAATTATAATTATTCAAAAGAAGACATTTAAATCTATATTATGTAAAAAAATCAAATTTGTCCGAAGCAGGGATAATGCTCATTTAGATTGATGAACTTCGTTCTCCAAACCGAGAATCGTCCTTTAGTAATCAGTTGTTGAGAAAAAACTTGTCAAAAGAGGAGGCAGCGGGCAAAGGCCTAATTTAGGACCATAAAACTATAAGTGTTTGGGATCTGTCATACCCAACTCTACCAAGGGTCTGAATGAAAACATCAATGCAATATCCAGGTTCTATCAACAAAATTCAAGCTGCTCGAGGTATCAATGTCAGCAAACATAAGCACAACTACATGTTTAATGTAAAGGTTCACTTGATTCACTTCCTAAATAATGTATAAAAGACAGTATTGATACATCACCTAAAAATCACTGATCCCCAAATGTAAAACAAACACCATTTTTGCGGCATATAATATTTTTCCTTTTATTGACTTCAATGAAGTTTATATATATATGAATATATGGATAACTATGAGATATATAAAATCACAATGGCTTAATGTACATTACCGGTATGTTACCATACATACACTAAAATGTATATAATTAAAACTATCCACTAAAATGTATTTAATTGTTTTAAATCTGGGGATCAGTAAGAAGTTGCGATCAGTGATTATATGTGAGATATGACGGGAGAGTGGGAGATGATGAGATGTCATCTACGATCTTTCACCCTAAATTCAATTCAGAATGTGTTAAGATTATGTTTAATCTAAAGGATCAATAAGGCTCAATAAACACTGGTTCTGAATTCTTAACAATAAATTCTAGAAGTTAAGTATGGACCATTCAATGTCATATTTGTTGATTATTTAAATTCTGCTGATTTTTTGATTATTTTAATTCTGCTGATTATTTGAATTGTCTTATTGATCCCCAGACTTGAGACTTAATTACACAAAGACTTGAATGAAAACACCAGTTTTTGTGAAAAATTGACTAAAATCAAAGATATCATGCTGATGAGGCTCGTTTCAGTTAGTATTTTGAAGAATATTTAGCAGCCACACAAAATTCTGCATTTTAGATCTATGGACCCAATTTTCCACAAAACTGCTGTTTCATCCAGATTTGCAGAAATATACATTACCATAGATAAATTGGCATGAAAATCATACATGACAATAAAATGTTGATAAAATGAGAAAATGCCTTATAATGATGTCCAGAATTTTCTATATGGTTAATGGAATGCCTATTACACGCATGTAGTTAATTTACATATATGTATATACAGAATATAATGCGACATTAACTATATCTTGAATTTCGTGGATATTTCGATTTCGACTGTATAATGTAAACCTGAGTTAGATTACATAGTATATGTAGTACATATATGTATATTACATAGCAGGGGTGCATGCCATTGGTCTGAAACCCAATTATCTGAAATAAACATTTCAATTACATAATAATTTATTGTTTAATGTTCAATTGATACTCAACGGTGGCATGTCCAGTAAAGCTGGTACAAAGCATAATGTCAAAATACAAGTGTTTTGGACCATTTTGGACAATGGGATTCAGATTTGGTTTATGACCAATGGGTTTCAAACCAGTGGAATAACCCCACATAGTATTGCTTCATAATCTTATGAATATGTTATGGAAAATCAATTCAATTATTAGTTTAGAATTTTGTTAGTAAGAGTGTATGTTCCCCTTACCCAATGTCCACTTATAATGAGCATATGATGAATTTGTAAAGTGAATAAAAAAATATTTTGTTCAATTTACAAAATTATGTCATATAGTGTCTTGCATATTTATTCATTTGACATCATTTTAATTTATCCATTATTATAGGAATGATTTCAAAGAGGGTATCATTATATTATATGACCCTATGGCTCTGAGACGGTTGAGTTAACTGGAATGTTATTCATCCTCCATTAAGGATGTCCATTCTAGGAAAATACAAACACCACATAACACTCTCTTCCAAATCACTTCCCTTTCAATATAGTAAACTTCTGAATTATAATACATGTATTATACAAAATATATGGTTTTCTGTAAATACATTTCAATGCACTGGTAGAGCCATGATAATGGTATTCCCTTCTATATTTTCCCCTGATAATACACATTTGAGCTTTTTACAGGTTTATGACCATGAGAACTATATCTAATTTTCCGAAGCTACTTTCTTAGGTTATGAGCATGCAAAGCCAAAAAATGAAGCATTTTTTATCTTTATATTTTCCAAATGAAGAATATCTATTGTGGGGGTCTTTGCAACAAGTGCATTTGAAATGCATGTTTTTAGCTCAAAAATAAATACAATACAAGGCATATACATGCAAAATATCACCACTTGCCATTTGTTACAGACAACAATCGCCAAACACCATCCACAAAAAAGGAAGGGACAATAACAATGTCACCACTTGCAATGGCGACATTAAACCATAATACAATAACTGCATTCTTTCTTCGTGACACTGCAGCTAAAATATCTTATTCAAAATTTGTGATGACTGCATGTGTTGTGTCATGCCTATGGTCACCAGCACATATACATGAGTAAACGCTTTAAAACTCAACATAGAGGGAATGTTTTATCACCCATACCCCCTGACTAGATCACACATAGATGCATTCTCCAAGCCACAGTCAATCCTCATAGTTATAAGGGAACAAACTGCAGCCTTCTCATTTGGAGAATGATAGGATTACTGCCCTTTCTCATTATTTCAAACAAAATGACATGATTGGTTTGATACTTCTGTGACAACTCTAAGACAATCATTTCCCTTATATCAACAAATCAATCATTTCATACTTGCAACTGGCCTTTGTGAGTGATATCAACCCTGATATATGAGTATTATAAAGATAATGTCCAAATATCAACAATAGTAAAATAACAAACATAATTTTGTGAAGAGGATATGGTATATACAATTTCTTCATTGAAGAATATTGATCTTTGAAAGGCAAAGCAGCATACATGTGGAAGGAGGGTTAAAGCATCATGAAATAAACTCATTTTTCCATTTTCACAACTACATGTACAATATGTACATGTAGTATGTATTGCGTGTATTGACATTTGGACAAAATCTCTTACAGTTATTCAGTAGGACATTCAAGTTGCAATAATGACAACAAGCAGACATATAAGTCTTTAGTCATGACCTGAAAATGGTTAGAGCAGCAAAACTGGCAGAACCCAGCTCAAAACACACAGTGAATGATGGGTTCCACCAGACTTATTGCTCAAAAGCAGTGTGGCAAGTTAGCATTCGGGATCTGGACAAATCTTCTCCTGTCTGGTGAAAATCTAGAGCTTAACCATGGAAAAATTTATTCAATAATTTTGTTATTTGTAATACTTTTTTCCAGGTTATTTGTCAAGTGACAATATCTAATCTGCCACACTGAACATATAGAATAAGGCTATAATAATGGAGTGTGTTGTTGTATCAGATGACCATGGGTTTGCCTGCAACATGCTCTTCTGTTGATGCAGTAGCCTCAGTTGCCACTTCACCCTCCTCTACGCCTCCACCCATCAGGCTACCAAAACTACAATATCACATCACGTCATGGCATTATTAACTTGGGATTAATACAACTACATATGATTTAAGGGCTCATTGATTATTGTGGAGATATTACACTTTATTATATGTTCTCAAAAGTGTTTTTCGTGTTTTGTGTCAATGTAAGAAGCTTTCAGTTTATTCACCTGGGTTTATGAGATTTCAGTTTATTCACCTGGGTTTATGACATTTCCCTGATCCACTGTGAATTATAGAGACCAAGTCTAAATTGCTAAATTTCAGCAATATTCACCTTACTTACTCGAGAATGTGGTATATGATTGTGAGAGGGAATAAGATACATATTAAAATACTGAGATGTCTTATATCTAAGTATGCTAATCATTAGAGTATGAACAATAATGGAATGAAGAAATTAATGTAAACTACAAAGCTGATACAAAAACAGAACTAAATGGAAAACTAACAAAAAAAATGAAAGAAATTCATGATTTTTGTAGATCTTCAATAGGCTTAGCTTGAAAAAATATTTTTAATGTAAGTAAATCATGAATTTTCTACAACAAAAGGGTAGCCATTCGATGAAATGAGTGAAGTTTATAAGTATTGCAAGGTAGACTTACAAGTTCCATATTGACCCTTTCTTCTTATCCTGTGGTTTAGCTAGCTCTGGGTGCTCCTTGGATGCTCTGATCATCTCAGTCCATCGCACTGCTTCCTGCAGTTCCATGAGACGCTCCTTGTACTGGTTGCGTTCCATGAGGACTCTTGCCATCTCTACACGCGTGAAACGTTTACGCTGAGCCATTGGAACCTCCTCCTGTGAGAGATATACATGCAGATTAAGTTTCGCTTCAAGTTCTTGAGCATTGGAATATTTAACAATGCATTAACATACAAATTGTTAGATGCCGACTACCAGATACCAACTGCCGTCAAAAAAATGGAAACCATAACAATGTGTTGATATAAAAAGCTGAAGTGCTACTCCTCTTTTTGCCCAAAAATGGGAACCTCCTCCTGTAAGACAGTACACTTAAGAGAGACATAAACATAAAGCTAACTTGCGCAGTATATAGATACATATGAATGACACTCCTCTTCTCGTTCAGATCCTCTTTGACTTACCTCTTCCTCTGCAGGAGCAGCACTCTTCTTCTTATCAAGGTCTTCCTTAACTTTCTTCAGTTCCTCCTCCAGCTCTGTAATCCTTAACTGCAGTCGAGACTTGGTTTGCTGAACTGAGGAGACCTCTTCCTTCAACATCTCTTGCTCACTAAACACATAACAGCATATCAGTATTTAGCAAGCTTTGTAACAATCAACCAACAATTTTTTGACAGACAGATAAAGCAAAGTTCTCTGCCATAAATCAAAACTTAAGGCTTTCAATTGTGCCACGGAGTACTAACATTATTTCATTGCCTTCTTTCTTGAGATTAACAATTTTCAAGATGATATATATTGTTGATTATACATACCTGGTTAGCTCATCAACCTTGGCTATTAGGTCATCTTTCACGATGTTCAGAGCATTCCTGCAAAGCAAACAATATTACTGTATACAGTGCATGTAGTGATACCCAAAGATCAATAGCTAACATACTAGTCCCTGACTAGGACAGATCATTCAACAGATTGCTGCTCAACCAATCAACGGACAAGAACAGACATAAATATGAATATTCGAGGGATGACAAGCTAATTGGCTTGGTGAGTTTATCTGCATAAAGGTTTTGAGTAAGGGTAATAATGTAATAGTTTAAAATCTGCATTAGAATCAACATTGCTTTACAACTAATGTTCCCATTGCACCAATATAGTAGAATACTACATGTTTACTGCTATGGGGGGAGGGGGGAGAAGAATGTGTGCAATTTAATAGAAAGAAAATCTTACTTGGTTGCCAACAGTTCAGTATTCTCCATGATAAGATTCTCCACCTCTTTACCCATACCTGCAAATTCACAATGTTTGGCTCTCAAATAGAAATATATGGTTCTCAATTAGTAATATATAGCTCTCAAAAAGTGACACATGGGTCTCAAATAGCAATATTTGGTTCTCTAAAATAGAAACATATGGTTCTCATATGGCAATATACAGGTTTCAAATAGCATTCAGTCCAAAATGCAGTTTCCAAGTATATTGAACACAAGATGAAACACAACATAGATATGAGGATGTTTACCATGTACATGTATATATGCCAACGTATTTCACCCCATATTTCAGAGACCCATGCAAATTAGTGTCGAAACCTGAACCCCCAATTTAGCAAATCCAAAATGTAGACAGTGGCATCTGAACTGTACCATGTACCATACAAACTAAAGGGTCAAGCTTATCCAAAATAGATATGCTTAAGTTCTCCCAACAAGCCTATATAACAAGCAACTTAAGTAAACCTTGCATTCAATCTTACCTTGAATAAGCAAATTCGATAATTTGAAATATGAAAGCAACTTTTCCTATCATAATATACGAATGTTTGCCTGGATCTTACATGTTTGATAGTTTTTAAAATAAAATGTGCTCAACAGCAATTTTTGTACATTTGTAGATCAGATTTTAGATAGTGTCTTACCAAAGAAGTTGTCATTGACTGGTTCATCCAATGTGCAAGCAAAATTAAGAGAAAATACAAAACATTTTAATGAGATAAACGCCATACTATTATCAGTTCAAATGTTAGATATCACAATTAGCACAATCTCTTCGATAAAATGAAAATAAATCCTAAAGGGTATCAAGAAGAAACACATTTTAATGATAATATTAGATTTAGTGTCAAACTGTTTATTGCTCAACTTATTCTAAATCGAATTATCATTTAATTTAATAAATGAGTGTTTGTGTGTGCATGTGTGTAAATCTTTGAATACTTATCTTATATGAAGCAGATTTATAAGAAAAGCTTCACACAATAGTACAACATTAAAAATAAATCAAAGAATATGTCAGTATTGCCATGGTTACGACCATAGATCAAATCATGGCAGCCATGGGACATCAAAAACGAAACCACCACAAACCCAAAGTGATCCAGTTAGCGATAAAGACCAACTCAAATATACAACCATCCTTTGCATTGCCTTATTCAAACATTGCCTTTCCAGCATATTCACAACATATATTTGTGAGAATCATTTATAACTGAATAATCCTAATATGATATTCCCCAATCCCTACAAACAATCCCCACCAACAATCCCCACCAACAGCACCATTATCCCAACCCTTTGTCTTATATAATGACTACATAGAGCAAATAGAATGTGCAAAAAACTCAACAATCTGACCTCCGCAAATACAATTATTTCATGGTCACTTTTTGATTGGGAAATGTTACAACAAAGCTAATCATAATGTATATATTCAAATCATCATGGCCATAAAATGTCACTCAAGGCCACTAGATTTTCATTTAGTTAATTCATAAAATGCTAAATTCTAGACAGAAAAACTAAATCACATTTCCCATATATATTTCCTTAATATTTTCAAGATAATATTGTTTTGTGGAGGTCAGGATGTGAAAATGCACACCAGAGGGCACTCATTACAACATACCAGATAGCGAATCACATTCTGATTCTTCATCTGCATAAATTAACATAAATTAGGTAAATTAGATTAATTAACATAAACAATGTGTCATACTAAATTATACCTTAAATAAACATCTACACTTTTTAAATGACACTTAGTGAAATCAATAAAACAATTGTGATTCTTACATATCATATGATTAATTTACAATTTTATGAAGGCTTATTTAAAACAATGAATACTTCTTGTAATAACAATGGTTGACAAAACACACAAAGGTAATACATATAATATATAATATACACAAACAAATCGTGCAAATTGAAGTACAATATTAACTAGCAATTACTGCATACACATCAATTCGAACAATCTGAGATGCTTTCAACTGTGTATGCGGCAGACGTCAGTACAGAACATTTCATACAGCTCAACTGTGCTTAAAGGACTGCAAGTTGTTTGGAGAATGAATTGGGGGTTAGTCAGTGTATTGATGTTTTTTTAGATGAAAAACACAAGCAAAATGCATGAAAAAACTCCCACGATTTATTCTACAAACAACTCGTTCTCCTTTGCTGATTTTTCTCTTTTTGTCATGTTACATGATGCTGATAGCTGTCATGTTATGTTATATACTGACTGAGTACAGACTATATATATAATACAGTGTCTAGATTACGTATCAACTAACCAGATGAAGCATAGTCACCAGGGTTCACTTCATTGCCTTCCAAGATAATCACAAAAATATTATTAAAGCATCAACTATGGAGAACATTTTCTGCAGGGTTTTCTTGTCAATACATGCTATAACAGCTGAAGTCTACACAAGGGATACAAAAATTCCACAATTGTTTATTATTCAGTCTTATTTAAATCATCAAGTCTCTAATGGCAGATACAAAATCATATAATAGTGCATATAGATGGCAGTACCTGTTATATCAGCACCATCATCCATATCTCCAAGGGCGTCAGAATCTTGGAAGTTCAACTCATCATAGATGGATGACTCATTGGCCCTGGTGCTACAACACAATAAATCATGGAAGCTTTGAAACTAACTTTCATTAAATATAATATAATTAAATATAAATATATGTACATGTTCACTTTTCCATGTTTGTTCATATTGATAAAAAACCAGAGATACATTATCAATCTTACTTGAATACTACAGACAATAGTCATTTTTTGTATCTTCCATGTTTCTACTTACAACTTTCTCTTGGCCAGGTTTGTTAATGGGGAGGAGAGATCATCAATATCTTCAAGGTCTGGGGTGGAAGAGACAATGTCCCTCAGAGACACTGGGGTCTGTGGGGCAGCTGCAATACAGGACATCATATTGGTGCTAACACTATTATGTTAATGGTATGTGGAGGTCCCAATAAACATCAGATATCCAAATACTGATGTACCTTATTATACCAGATGCAATTTTAAGTCTAATGAAAATTGAATCATAGATGTATTACTTGAGAAGTATGACCATACTTTAACTACATAATATACACTGTTTTATTGCTACCAATACTAATAATACAAAGAGAAAGACCCTACCAGACTTTTATGACATGTGTATAAAGAATCTATCTACTACAAACCTTTTTCTTCTACTTCAACCATGCCATCAAGTAACAGGTTGTGGCCTATATTCTCAGTTTGCTTCAGTGTAGTGTCAAGGTCCAGTTTCAATTTACTAAGACGTTCAATTGGAGTACTAGTAGATTTAATTTGAATAGGACTTATTGCTTCTGTTTTTTGTTCTTGATTTAATAATGATGTTGATTGTTTATCATTTGATTGTTTATCATTGACTATTGTTTGTTTAGAGTTTACAGTATCTCCACTTGCTTTATTAGAACTTATAGCACCATCATCTATTGGAATATCTTGCTTGGTATCTGTATCAGTTACTTCTTGAAATAAAGAAATCATACAACATGCATAAATAAACAAAAAATAAAAAACGTAAAGCCATACAGAGCTGCAATGTAATAATAACAGTGCCATTGTGGTAATCTCATATTTTCTCAAGCTTTCAGTCATTCTGTGCTAAAGAGTGATAAAAGAAATTCAAATCAGTTACTCATCAAAGTCATTTTTCCAAAGCAAACATATTCCAGTAAATACAAAATGAACCATAATGACACTGTAGCATTTAAATATATCTAAATGATCAGTTCTACAAGCTGTAATGAATGTATACATGCATAAAATAAACATTTGTAAAATATACATAAATAAAATAAGTCAACATAAATAAAATAATATAAAAAGTATGAGAGGGTGTTATGTTATCAATATATTGTATGTAACTTGGTCAATGAAATCAGTATAAATGTATAAGGCAGGTATCTTGGAAAATAAGCTAAATACAGGGTGTAAGAAAAGTAAAGTAAGTGTTCAGGATGTACCAGAAAGTACATGAGATATAAGTTTAGTTCAGTGTGTACAAGAAATTTAATACACACACGATGTTGGAAAAGTAAGGTATACAAGAAGTTTAATATGCACAGGATATTGGGATTATACAATGAGTACATTGTGTACAAGATTGTTTTTCCTCCAATATAATTGCTAAAGTGTTGCAATGTTAGCAGCAATGTAGAGGAAGTAAGAAGTATGAGAAAATAATCTGAGTAAAGGTGCATGAGAAGTAATGAATGTGAGGTGACAAGTACACAATGTTCAAGAAGTTAGCAGAATATGAGGGTGCACCAAAAGTATGGTAAATGAAATAATAGGCTAAGTAAAGGGTATGCCAGAAGGAAGGTTACTCAAGAACAAGATTCTGGCTTGAACATTTACATAGAGCAAAATGAAGGTTCACATCAACTGTCATGCAGATGTAGATATCATGACAGTAATTCTTACTTGTAGATGTACTCATCTCCTGCATAGGAACATTATCAGTTCCAGTCTGTTTGTCTTCCCCAGTGGCCTTCTCATTCTTCTCACCCTTTCCCTTTAGTTCATGTTTGAGACTAGCATTAGAGTCCAGACTTCTGTTGCCTGGGGATATAATGAATTCTGGTGACGTAATTGGTGTCTCCCCAGATTTCATAGGTGTGGATCCAGGAGAGACGGAGCGCAGGTTGGGTAGGACGAACCCTCTACAAATGTAAAGCAACCCATGATCAATAATAACCAATGGCCAACATTGCTCACAAACATCCAAATTGTTTGTTGCATGTATAACTTTTAGGAGGCACTTCATTTAGCAAAATAGCAGGTAAAAAACTGTATTAAGCCCTAGTAATGAATGATAATTTTGAAATACCACTTGAAACATTTGAATTTATATTAGGTTGATCAGTGTGGTATAAAGTCTTACTTTCCCTTGGGGGTTGGGCCAGTAGGGTCCTGTAATATTTCACGCCCCATCAGCAGTTTAGTTCGCTCCATATATTCCATGTGAGTCTTGAATAACTACAACATAACATAATATGTAGATCAACTTGAGAACATGATTTTGTGGAGAAGCAAGTCTTTCAAAATTTTTTAGACACCATATTGGAGAGTATTTTTGGATATCAGACATATAATATACAGGTACAGTTTTGTTGAAAAATCTGTGGATGGTACATCAAGTAATTAACATAAAATGTGTTATATTTCGATCACAAATTTTTACCATATACAGTATGTAACATTTTTGATTAAAACTGGATAGTCACTCGTGGTAAAGTCCAGAGGACAACAAAATGCTGGTTTCCAAGTTTATTAATTTTTTCCAAGTTTATGCAATTCTACACCTTACATCATACAGTACTGGTATAAGAAATTAGTACCTATCTGAATGCTCAATAAATAATATTAATAAATCACCCCATTGCAACTAATAAAGTGAAGCATCAATGCAATCTCTGTAGATTGCAATTCTAAAATATGAGCTCTACCATGATTTTATTTTGCAGATGATGATTCAAATAAATGAAATTTTGTACAAAATTTGAATTTAACAAAAATCATTTCATTGCTCAAAGAAGAGTGAAAAACTAGAAGCCATCAAAATTCAAGGCATACGATTCACAAATCAGCAGTATAGTCTAGAACTACTGAGAGACTCAGATACCAAAAGTTGTTAACCCCAGATATGCTGTGGTTCTTTGTATATGTTTGCACATAATAAATTGCAGAATGACATATATCTTTCTTTCCACCAATTATACAAAATGTGTCCATTGTAGCAATTGCCTGGATAGAGGTTATATCAAGGAAATAGATGTCATAGATGTGGATAGAGTCAAGAGATGGGCTGTAGCTTGGTTTTAGGAGATACATACCTCTGTATAACGTTCATGTAACTTGTTGTACTCTTTATTTTTTTCATTTTCTTTGTCTTCAAGTCGGGATACTGAAACAAAATTGAACACATTCTAGATTCTTAAATCTTCATCAACATGATGACAATATACATTCTACCAAAACCATTTAGTTGACAAAAAAGTTCAAAAGGACTTTAAGGGAGTACCATTTTTATAAATTATAAATGGATTGTATGAACAACAAATTGCCAAACTTTTGAGACAACCCTCAAATAGCAAATAGTTTTTGTGCTTTTATGCTCATGAACACCAGTAGTTTTTTAATCCATCAATACTACATAGATAAAGTACATGTAGGTTGATAATCATTACTTTGTTAGGGTCATCTTCATTTTAAAATACTTTAAGAAGATATTTAGAGAATGTGTTCAAATAAATAATCCACTGGTATTTAATGACATGACATGACATGACATTTATTATCACACACCACAGTGCTATATTTTTCTCATCTTGTTTTTTCTTTCATAACCTTGAATCAGTCTAAAGCTTGCAGTTTTTAAAAAGTTTTAAATATAATTCATGAAGTACAGGACAAGGCACAATTGTATTTATGTGATGGCTAATCATTCTTAAAATTTTACCCAAACATGATTTCACTTCCATAAGGAGAGAGAATATGCATTTCTGCCTGTAAATAAAGAGGTCATAAGGAGAGGGAATAAGGAAGATGAAATCTTACTGTGATCTTGTTGATTCTTTGCCTTGAGCTCTAGTTTATGTACCCCACTCTCCAGGGCTTCTATCCTACCCTCTTGCTGTTTCCTCTCCTCCTCTATAGAGTCCTCAACCTCTAGATATTTCTAAAACAACCAAAAATATAATATAGATGCATGATCACCAGATTCTGGGCTATTTAAACAATAAATGACAGGATAAAAAGAATCATTTCAGAATCTGAACAGAAAGTAGGAATTCAACTTGGTTTGATTTTTACTATAGACAGCCAGGTCTGGGGGGGGGGTTGTACAGTGTACCACAATACAGTATCTGTATGATCAAGAGAATCATGAGCTATGTAGCACTGCAAAAATACTGTCAAATATTCTTGAGGCCAGAGGGCATTATGGTGGTCATCTTTTGACCAGATACATGTATTGTTCTCCCAAAAGGCAAGGGCATGTCACATGTGTATAAAGCATGAATGATATAGATTGGTGGCAATGGTGGGATATTTAGATAATTAAAGTTGACAGCCAATACATCAAACATTTACTGATATTTCAGCAACTATAAAAATGACCAACTTTATTAGAAAAAGTTTGTTTGATCAATTCTACTTTTTAGGTCACTTAAACATTTAGTAAGAACAAACAACATTTGGAGTTTGTCATTGTCTTGGGTTGAGAACTTGAGATAAGTGTTTATTCTGGAGATGTACACATGTTATGTTACATGTAGGCAAATGTATATCATATGGCTATCACAACTTATCATCAGTCAGATATGATCATCCTAATTTGTTCCACTTTACAGATGAACTTCACCAAAAAGCCAATCACCAATCACATAAAGACAGATGTTATACACAATGATAAATTCTTTAATTATATTAACTTGGTAGTTGATATTCCAAAAGCTCATAAAAATGTAACAGATATACTATTTTTATCAGAAATCTCTGAAAATGAGCTAAAAATCAGGCAAAATTGTCATCCCAGTCGTCCAATAGCCAATCGTCTGAATCCCAATGGTCCTAATCCCATTAGTCCCAAACCAAATTATCCAATACCCAATTGTCAGAATCCTATTGGTCCAAAACCCAATCATCTGAATCCTGTTTGTCCAAATTCTATTTAACGGAAACCTTATGATCTGAAAATTAAAAGTTGTCGATATATTTTTTGAGAGAGCACGGGGAAATATCATGATGAAAAGCCTCTTTACATAATGTTTAGCTCAAAATATCTAAAACCTGCATTCCATTTCCATTACAACTATTGACACTGAAGCTTTAAATAATCAGTAATTTACAAGCAAAGGAACTGATGCAGTTAGAATAATCGCAGTTAGAAGTTGTGTTGTAATTGTAAATACAACTCATGGACACCCTGTACATATCAGATAACCTGGTCATGATATGGATATGGCTTAGGGAGCTTATCAAAAGATCGATATCGGAAAAATAACTGTATTTACACAGTTAGGGGGAGGGGGTCATAACATTGGCTTAAAAATTTAGCATTTGGACATCATTCTCGGGAATTCAATTAGTGGTGCTCTTTTCATCCAGTACACTTCCGGTACGAAAAATGGTAAAAACCGAAATGAAAACGATTTAAATCTTTCTAAAAATGAGTTTTTTTAAGCAAATATACGCTAAACTTCATAAACCCAGTAATAAATAGGAGAAGTTTGTAAATGGGGTGTGTTTCAAATCGAAAAACTCCAAACCAAACCACAAGATTGTTGACAAGGCTAATAAAATGTGGTCAGAATACAAAAATGATCAAACAAAATTGGATTTAATTCCTGAATCAAGATTGAAGAAAGTGGGACTGTTCTATGATCGTCAGATTACTGACTTTTTCAAGGCAGACGATCCAGCTATAAAGCCAATGACTATGTGTTGCATCTATCCAAATGCCTTTCATATTATTTTTTTCATTCAAATGATCCCGAAGTTCTGTAATACAACTGGTGCACAGTACCTGAAGTTTTGAAAAATGACTGTATTACATATTATGTTAGATATATTGTAACTTTCGAAATAACGCATATCAACATTTCTCAAACACAGTTATGAGGGGGAGGGGGGTCACAAATTAACTGTGCAAATATAGTTAATAATCCTACATTGAACTTTTGATATGCTCCCTTAATGGGTAGTTATCTGGACTACAGTATATCCTATAGTTTGACATTTTGGCTGAAAAATGTCAGACTGACTTCTCGTCAGTCTATTGGATACAGCTTGACAACCGGGATTGGGACAAGAACAATTTGTTTTCAGATAAATGGGATTCATACCACTGGGTCGGACCAATGGCGCAACCCCTATATGTATAATATGTAACAGCTACTCTTGAGGTCATTTATTACCATGTAAAGTCTCAAGAAAACATAGACAATACACATAATAATGTGAGTCAAGCGAAGCAAGACTGAAATAAGGAGCTGTGTCTGGCAAAATAAACAAGAGAAATCAGTCCTTGATTGGTCCAGATTGGTGGACCATATGTGGAGCAACATTCATTTGTAGATTTCCATAAATAGAGATATCTTACTCCAATTTTATGTGTTTTTTCACTGTTTAATAACACGTTTTGTGTATTCGGTACAAACCTGCTCTGATGCTTTACGGAGTTGTTTCTCACGCTCATACTGCGTCAACAATTGTTCATTATCATCACGTAACAATTCCAGTTCAACCTCATTTTCTTGCTTTTCTGTGAACGAATGATCCAGCCCTTCAAGTATGTTCACAACGAGAGGCATGAGTCTTCGACAAACATTTTCGTCATATGATTCCATCATCCTTTGGAACTCAACATACACTTCATTGGCAAGTGCTTGCACTTTTTCTGACATCACTTGATGTGAGTCTTCATGAGTTCCATACACTGTCTCTCCTTCCGACTCCATGGTGACACTAAAATCGATTTCTTCGGATGTTCAAGAAACCTTAGAATGCTATGATAAAATCAGCTTTGTAAAATGTTCACGATCCATGTTAAAATCTGGTTAAATACTGCTAAAATGTAAATAATATTTGACAAATTTTACTCCAGGTCAGCTGACCTCAACGCAACCGGAAGTTCTAGTGCGCAGAATCGAACCTGGTAAAAACATGTCTGCTTGTTGATGATAGAGATATAAACACAAATATAAGAATAATTATGAAACTGCTACGGATTTTAAGCTGTGCCACAAATAGAGTGATACGTAGAAGATATGCAACCAATATTCTTTCGGGGAAAACTGTGCGAATTGGCTGTGCTTCTGGATTTTGGGGCGATACTGCTGTTGCAGGTGTTTGTTTACAGTTTTGATATTCACTTTTTGTTTTAGCATGCTTGACATGATCATAAAACATTGTCTTTCTTGTTGTGAATATAAAAAATATTTACATTTCTGTTCGTTAATTGCTTTTGTCAAAGTATTAATTGTTAAGGCTGACATATCACAATCTTTTGCATGGGACTTTGGTCTGGGTGTCAAAGTACAGTTTCCTATTTATCATGGGATTTCAAGAGAGATGACACCCCATGAACGTATTCAAGTAAAGATTTGTCAAAGCTGGCTTTGGAACGTCCTGCATTGCTTTGTATCACATTCAGTCCCTTCCTGAATAGTGTGTATGGAAAAGACCGACCCCCACTGACCAGCTGATCTCTGTGCTTGGGTTCAAAATCACTCATTCAATGGCCCCGGGGCTTAAAATGCAAAAATCAAATAAGACGCTAAAATATTTTGACATGATTATTACGTACAGTTTTCCGTTATGGTTTAAAATATTAGCTCACCATTGAAAAACCTATCTTGCATCCTTTAATCTTTTTTATTCTGAAATTCAATCAAAATTTTAGGGACTGAGAAATTAAATATAACACATAATAATAATAAATGATGAAAATAAGTAGAACTCATCACTCCCCTCCAAATGTAAGGCAACCCTAACCCCCCCCCCCCCCCCCATTTGACCCCATCTTACTGCATCTTAAAGCCTCTTCACTTTGCATTCTTATTTGCAAATTGAACTTTTGCTAATTATCACTTGAATTAGTATGGAATGAGTAGGTTTGCCACATTTAGTCATATGACAAAATAGTCCAAATTATTTTTGAAGGAACCACTCCCATTGAAAGAACACAAGAGACAAAAATTATATAAAAAGTTACTTTGAAGTTCTGTAGCTTAAATGCTCACTTTGGCAACTCACCACTCCAGAGTGAGAAAAAGTTAGATATTGAATTTTTTGGAAGAAATTATAAACTTAATTAAAATGTCCCATGGTTGGTTTATTTTTTACCCTCCCACCACTGACTGGTAAGTCTTTTACATTTCATTTTCAAACCCTGCTCCGAGGCTACCTGTGGTCAGTAGGAGGAGGGATCTTGTCTTTTCCATACATCCTTCCTAAATGAATGTGACTACTCAAACTGAAATACTAAAATTAAACACTTGTTTCAAATACAAATTTCAAATCATTTGACTTACCCAAAGGGTTATACACATGCTGTAACATTGTGCCATCAGCTGGAATGCAGGATTTAAAGGGAATGCGAAGTTTCATGTTCTAATTTACACGCTGGCTACTTATAACCATCATCTATCACTCCAGCTCACTCATGGGACATATCGTGTTTGAACTAACATATAATTCAAGTTCAAAGTACCCATATCTGGATCGCTGCGGATGCCGCCATTGTTATGTATCAATGACGTCATTGATGCCTTAAAATTGATGCCTGGAAAATGTCGCTATATAATCACGTCATACTCGGATCGCAGAAATAGAACACATTTCACTGATATTTTATAACTATTTCTGTCCGCTTAACATTGTTGCCGCATGTTCATGTCCATATCATATCATATATTTTGAAAAGTTGTTTCAATATATTCTTCATAGTAATTGAATTGTTGCAATGTATTTTTTCAAATGTTTGTATTTATTTTCTCCAATGTGATATAGTATAGGCTAGGTAGAAAAATCACTAAACTTATGAGATATCGGCTGCGCGATTCGGAAGTCATCGCATTATATTCCACTTGAAAAATATCCACTAGAATTATTTTATATAATGATAACATTGGGTCAAAAAGGATAAATCTGTTCAAATTAAACATTACGTATTATTCTTTGAAAATATGACAGTGGCATGTCCTTGTAAAGCTTAAAAAATTATTTGACTGCAGAAATACTTAGGCAACCGTAGAAATCCTGCTTACCACAGATTTGATAGACCGTACGGTCCCCGTAAAAATGTGACGTGAGGCTAAGAATCAAAAATTTTAATTTCTTTGAATACCTGTGTTAAAGATAAACATAAATGCAATGAATATTAAAGTACGAACACGTACTTTTGTAATGAGACTAGCAAATTAAACCATTGCATTCTTGGAAATTCAAGATGGGTTGGTTGAATTAATTTTATGTTTTATTCAAATAGTTTGCATTCGCCTGATAGAATTAGCATTCTCTGTTCGCATTTAGCGCTAGACCTAATAAAAACGAATCCCAGATTGTTTCAAGTGTAAATAAAGAATAAATCCAACCCGCATTCCATGTCTAGATAGGTAAAAAGCAATTCCGAAAATGCCGGCGTTAATATTCTATTGAAATCGTTCTTTATTATGGGTGGTATATACGTATTCTTTTAGTTCCTTTGAAATGATTTCTTTGGTTTTGGAATGGCAACAACTCGGCATTCATTTTTTGATTCAAAAATGGCGCCACAAAACTTGTGGAATGCCAAGGCATCAATCTGGCATCAATGACGTCATAACAATGTCGTAAAGAACCACTTTACGGTTGAAATGGCAGCTCCGTGGTCCAGTTCATATGCAAAACCCGGGGCTCAATAACAATTAAAAGGATAATGATAGAACAATAAAACTAAGTTGGATTGAAAGATATATCTTTATTCTAACTTATTATCAAGTTTAAGGGACAAAACTTCGCATTCCCTTTAAGTAGATAGAAGAGAAGTCCTATTTCTTATATGGCAAATTATCGGGGAATTGTAATTTTTGTTATACAGTGTGTCTCAAAAAAATGTTACACTTACAATGTACACATATGACAAAATAGTCCAAATTATTTTTGAAGGAACCACTCCCATTGAAAGAACACAAGAGACAAAAATTATATAAAAAGTTACTTTGAAGTTCTGTAGCTTAAATGCTCACTTTGGCAACTCACCACTCCAGAGTGAGAAAAAGTTAGATATTGAATTTTTTGGAAGAAATTATAAACTTAATTAAAATGTCCCATGGTTGGTTTATTTTTTACCCTCCCACCACTGACTGGTAAGTCTTTTACATTTCATTTTCAAACCCTGCTCCGAGGCTACCTGTGGTCAGTAGGAGGAGGGATCTTGTCTTTTCCATACATCCTTCCTAAATGAATGTGACTACTCAAACTGAAATACTAAAATTAAACACTTGTTTCAAATACAAATTTCAAATCATTTGACTTACCCAAAGGGTTATACACATGCTGTAACATTGTGCCATCAGCTGGAATGCAGGATTTAAAGGGAATGCGAAGTTTCATGTTCTAATTTACACGCTGGCTACTTATAACCATCATCTATCACTCCAGCTCACTCATGGGACATATCGTGTTTGAACTAACATATAATTCAAGTTCAAAGTACCCATATCTGGATCGCTGCGGATGCCGCCATTGTTATGTATCAATGACGTCATTGATGCCTTAAAATTGATGCCTGGAAAATGTCGCTATATAATCACGTCATACTCGGATCGCAGAAATAGAACACATTTCACTGATATTTTATAACTATTTCTGTCCGCTTAACATTGTTGCCGCATGTTCATGTCCATATCATATCATATATTTTGAAAAGTTGTTTCAATATATTCTTCATAGTAATTGAATTGTTGCAATGTATTTTTTCAAATGTTTGTATTTATTTTCTCCAATGTGATATAGTATAGGCTAGGTAGAAAAATCACTAAACTTATGAGATATCGGCTGCGCGATTCGGAAGTCATCGCATTATATTCCACTTGAAAAATATCCACTAGAATTATTTTATATAATGATAACATTGGGTCAAAAAGGATAAATCTGTTCAAATCCTGTAAATGCTTTCTAATGCTTTTTAACCAATAAATGAGGTAAATGCATTAAAATATACAAAATGGCATTTACACATAATTATATAAATGCATTACTGTGCATCAATGGGGATTTATTTTAACTAAGATTAATGTGGCTAATGTGTTGGCGTATTTGTGGTGAAAGTAAGTAAGTTATATCATCGGCTGAACGCATCCAACAAATAGTTGCATTTACCATATTTATGTAAATACACGACATACCATTTAAAATATCAAAATCTATGCTAATGTTCATTAATGCGCTGATGAGCATTTACGGCACATCATTATTAACCTTAAGGTTTACGTCGGCAAATAGGCATACTGCCGCAATTGCTTTCTTACCTAATCATTAGTGATAGATTTCTTCAATCTGTAGTATTCTATTCAAATATGAATAGGTGCATATTGGAGAATGAAAGAAATAAAACAAAAAGTAGTAATCCAATGAAACAGTAACTCCCTAAAGTGTTTAGCCATTTAAATTCTGATGAAAAACGCAAACAAAAAAACGAAAAATCGATGTCGTCTAAATGATACGTATGTAAATGTCAATCTCCTAAAAACTAAGATTGGCAATAGCTTTACAAGGACATGCCACTGTCATATTTTCAAAGAATAATACGTAATGTTTAATTTTTCTCAGTTGTTAAACGACCAATTTCAATCATCATATCACCGTAGCGACATTCGATATGACATTCGATATGACAGTGATGCGGGGAGACGATGGGGTCGATTGTAGTATGATATTTCATTTCAACGACGATAAGGCAATTCTGAATTGCCGTATTGATAGTACGCCAATAGTTTAATATTTATTTTACTATATATTTATTTTTTGCTAAAAACAATTCCTGATTTCGAGCTCGAATTTAATTATATAACATCCGTGGTAAGTACAGTTCTACAGTATTTTCGAAATAATGATTTTCAATTTAATGGCATACAACCTTTTGTTTTTCTATATCGGAAAATAAGTGGAACTTTAAAAGCTTCAGTCACATTTGTTCAATGCGACCACACGTCGATCGTATTTCCCTGAAATCAGTAAATTTCTGCGGCAAACATAGGAAAACTACAGTCGACTTAAGGTCACTGCACCTTGCTGTCTACGTACACGACATATCCAGTTTTTATCAGGTGTAGAGTCGGAGTTATAACTTTTTCTTTCCTGTGGTCACTATACATGTAGATATCAACAAGCAGCAGCCAAACCGTAGGTCTCACGACGGCCGTACGTCGGGTTCACGGTCGACTTGCGGCTGCGCTTGGATTTCATAGGTTACAATTGACCTTTCCGAACCATAGAACCCCTTGTGGATGCCTCAAGAAAAACTATGCACGTCGTAGGGCCGCCCTACGCTGATCGTGCGTCATCATTTATCAGCTGTAGGCTTACGGGAATCATAGTTTTTCCTCATAATCAAGATACGCCGTACGGCTATCTTAGCAAATGTGACTGCTAAATTATTTGACTGCAGAAATACTTAGGCAACCGTAGAAATCCTGCTTACCACAGATTTGATAGACCGTACGGTCCCCGTAAAAATGTGACGTGAGGCTAAGAATCAAAAATTTTAATTTCTTTGAATACCTGTGTTAAAGATAAACATAAATGCAATGAATATTAAAGTACGAACACGTACTTTTGTAATGAGACTAGCAAATTAAACCATTGCATTCTTGGAAATTCAAGATGGGTTGGTTGAATTAATTTTATGTTTTATTCAAATAGTTTGCATTCGCCTGATAGAATTAGCATTCTCTGTTCGCATTTAGCGCTAGACCTAATAAAAACGAATCCCAGATTGTTTCAAGTGTAAATAAAGAATAAATCCAACCCGCATTCCATGTCTAGATAGGTAAAAAGCAATTCCGAAAATGCCGGCGTTAATATTCTATTGAAATCGTTCTTTATTATGGGTGGTATATACGTATTCTTTTAGTTCCTTTGAAATGATTTCTTTGGTTTTGGAATGGCAACAACTCGGCATTCATTTTTTGATTCAAAAATGGCGCCACAAAACTTGTGGAATGCCAAGGCATCAATCTGGCATCAATGACGTCATAACAATGTCGTAAAGAACCACTTTACGGTTGAAATGGCAGCTCCGTGGTCCAGTTCATATGCAAAACCCGGGGCTCAATAACAATTAAAAGGATAATGATAGAACAATAAAACTAAGTTGGATTGAAAGATATATCTTTATTCTAACTTATTATCAAGTTTAAGGGACAAAACTTCGCATTCCCTTTAAGTAGATAGAAGAGAAGTCCTATTTCTTATATGGCAAATTATCGGGGAATTGTAATTTTTGTTATACAGTGTGTCTCAAAAAAATGTTACACTTACAAAAAGTTCAATATCTCTCATGATTTTGACTTTTCCCCTAAAATATACTTAGATACCAAAAGACCAGTCTTTTTCAAATAAATCCACACTATCAGATTTTACAGACTCATGTGAAATCTGATTTGCGCCAACTTCTCAGTGGTTGGACATAGTGATCAATTCTTTTTTGGTGTGAACTCTGTGGACAGTGATATCTTGATATGATCAATGATCCAGGTGTTTCTTTCCTGGATAGAAATACAAGATTCCATTATCAGGTATTCAATTTTGTTATGTATGATGGCAACATGATGGTGCAAAGACCTATGGTAGATCGTTTGGTAGAACTCTTTGGAAATCAGTGATTAGCATTGAATTACCCAATTGACCTTTTTCCATATAAATGAAAAATAGATGGCATCATGGGTATTGGTAGGGCTAGGGTAGGGATAGAATACATGTAAATGTATTGCCAGAGTCACTTAATTTCTTGATTTAAGAAGTAATTCCATTTGGATCTACTTAAAACACCATTGAAATATAACTATATGATCTTATTGACATGTGGATTGTGATTTCACATTAAAATTGTGATCCTTGTAAGAGTAAATGAACTTTTTAAGGTTTTTCAGCATCGTGTCCATGGGGATTTAGCCGGACCTTTTTTTTAGACAACTAGTTAGTAAATCATTAGAATTTGAATAAAGGTAAATAATGGTGCAAATCAAAGTTGTTTTGATAGAAAATTTCATACAGAATTCAAATATGCCTTCAAATAGAAGAAAATGTTAGTCTTTTATGGTTAAAAATGCAGATCTCCTAAAATCTCATTAAAAATGAGTCTTTGGCGAGATTTCAAAGCTATATGGAAAAAGGACCATGGATTGGCCCCATTGTCATGCCACTTTACACCCTTGATTTTTTGAAGGGCTTCTGGAAGCTCTTTACAGCATCACAAACTGACCTAAATGAACTTCTGCAAAAATAATTGATGGAATCAGTGTGATATTAATTACAATTTGCATATGCGCATGGGCAAGGGTACCTCGGATTTGCTTTGGAGAACATGTTGAGGGGACCACATGTTTATGTGGATAGACCCAATGATCATTTGTAACACAAATAAGAAAATTACAGAATGACTCAGTTAAAAGGTCAAGCTTCAACTCAGAAGAAAGTTAAATATTAAAGAAACTGTTCCTCTTTTCTCATTTGGTCCATCCAATCACATAGAAGTTAGTGGATGTCAGATTTTACCATTGGACACTAAAAGCTGCCCTGGGCAGTCAATCTAGGACAGATTTTGAATCTGATGGTGTCAAATTATTCTAGAAAGATTTGTCTTTTGATATCCAAAGTATATTTTAGGGGAAAAGCCAAAATATAGATATATTGAACTTTTTGTAAGTGTAACATTTTTTGAGACACACTGTATATAACCATGTTGCATTATTCCAGCACCCCAGTTGATCTATGGTGGCAATGTGGACTTCCTTGTGTTTGACTATCTTAGTGAGATCACAATGTCTCTCCTAATAATAATATATAACCATGTTGCATTATTCCAGCTCCCCAATTGATCTATGGTGGCAATGTGGACTTCCTTGTGTTTGACTATCTTAGTGAGATCACAATGTCTCTCCTCACTGCTGCAAAGACCAAAGTGCCAGTACGTAATTTACTTCCATTCAGATTGAGAGAATAATTAGAATTTGTCATTTTTGAACTCCTTGGGTGCAAGATTGACTGCAGCCATGTATTTTATTTTATTATTGCAGTGTGCATGAAAATATAGAAAAAAATTATGAAAAATTAATAAAGCTTTGCTCCAGACTGTGTGCAGGTTGCCATTGTACCTTTTTTCAGTAACATCGAGGATAATTCATTTGCGAATAACATCAAGGTTAATCATATTTATTGTATGTATTGTATATTGTAGGAGTTAGGATTTGCTCCAGACTTTGTGCAGGTTGCCATTGCACCATTCATCAAGGACATCAAGTCTAAAGGTATCAGGGTTATCAGCAATGCTGGTGGTGTGAATCCTCTAAGTTGTGCTGCTGCACTGAAGAAAGTTGCTCATGCTAATGACATACAGTTGAAGATAGCAGTAGTGACAGGAGATGAACTCATGCCAAAGGTACCTTGAGTTAATTCTTATAAAAGTTCAGCTTATTGTTGTAGCTACCATTTTTTGTAATGGCCATATTATGCTTTGTTATATTTACTTCCATTGTTTTACTTTATATACACTTTTTAATAAAAATGTGTGTGTTTCCACCTTGTCCCTGGAGATATTTTTAGCATGAAGAATTTACAAGAAAATTATTGTGTATTTTTATAAGTTGGGTCCAAGTAAATAGCACATACTATATATTCCCACAGTGACTCATTGTTTTCTTATTTATTGTGCTTCCCTCCTGATCTGATCTTTAAGATCAATGTTTTGTTCAATTTTAGTCACCTCCTCATTTGCCATGATCATAACCTTTGTTTCTTTCGTGGACCAAGAGTAAGCCACCTTTCCTCTGTATTTTTTAGAAAGAAGAATTGGCAAAAGCAGGTGTGGTGGATATGACATCTGGGAAACCATTCCCTCAAACTATACACAGCATGAATGCATACCTGGGGTGAGTAAGATAAATGGAGTTAATATGATGACTACAAATACTATACTGCAAGAATGTATATATCGAATTAGATAATACTCTTAATGAAACTATACACATAATAAATTGTAAAATAACTGTATTTGATTGTGTTTTAGAGCTGGTCCTATAGCTAGAGCTCTGGATCTGGGGGCTGACATTGTAATCACTGGTAGATGTGTGGACAGTGCAATTGTCCTAGGACCTCTACTACACACGGTGAGTTTGAAATTGTTATTTGAAAGCACACATGAAAATCAGTGCCAGACTCTCCAGACTATTTTGTTTGAATTCAGTTGTGATCTGTACAAATTCTTACAAGCCAATATGTCATACTAAAATAATGCCAGTGATTGGGATTAAAGCCTTGTGTTGAATGCCCATTTGAAGCTCAAATGAATCAGAAATTAAATCATTGTTATTTGTAAAATGAATTTCAAGATTTGAAACACATTCTTCGAAAGTAAGATATATTCACAAGTGTCACATTCTAACTTGGATAGTTTGGGGAAAGCAGTGCTTATAGATATGAATCCGAATTGGTAAATCTTTGTTGGGTCATATTTCAGTTTTCATTAGAGGAAAAGGCCACTTTGAAAAATCTTAATGTTTTCACACTTGAAACTGCTCCCCATGCTGGACAAAAAATTGAAACATTAATAAAAATGAAAAAGATCCAATACATCTAGATCTAACACAATCAGAATTTTAAAGAAAACATATGTAAATATTATCAAGTCACCATATCATGCCATTAAAAAGTTTATTTGATGGTACCCCGGACAGGTTGTATGATGCAGTCGTTTTTTTACTCTATATTTGCAATAGAACAACCATTCTTATTGAAATTTTCAAGATTTATTCTAGAGACAATTTCCAGATATATCTGTTGCCATATTAATAATTACGGCTGATTATTGTTATTCACTTGAGTTATATTCAATATTATTACAGTGAATTAGGCAAATAAAAACTTGTTGCCCTGGGTCTCGTTTTGTGAAGCGTTCCTTAGATTGAGCCCAGATTGAGGAGGTCAATCTTCTTGTCCACGGACATGAGTTCAACCCGGTCACTGTTTAGTACTGTCCAAAATGAAGTAAAACATTACGCATCTCCTATTTGAAGTATTCTTGGCATTAGATCCTTCAGAGATGTTATAATACAGCTGTGTCAAATTTTATCATGAAATTGCCAGGGAGACCTGACATTTTAAAAGCATGGTACAATTTACGTGCCACAGGCTTGCATGCTGAGTGACGGTGGCGGAAAAACCCAGTGGAGAAAAAGGTGCATTTTCAGAGAAAACGTGACCCAGAGTGAGAAGTTTCATTGGCCTAATGCACTGTAATAATATTAGGCCTATTGAATATGACAAAAATGAATAACAATTATCAGCCATAATTAATATGGCATCAAATACATCTGGAAAGACTTTAGGCTGTCAAAAATTCAATGGCTAGACAAACTTTGAAATGAGGTTAAAAGTTTAATTGTTCAAGCAAAACCTGTATTTTATTGACAGTGGAGTGTTTTTGAATAAAGCCTATCAAAATCATAAAATTGGGAATTTCGTTAAAATATTTGTTTTCCATGTTGGAAATTGTCTCCACAATAAAATATGAAAATTTCAATAAGAATGGTTGTTCTATTGCAAATATAGAGTAAAAAAATGACTGCATCATACAACCTGTCCGGGGTACTATAGTAATAGTAATGTCATATTAGAAATCTACATGCAAAATTACATCAAATAATGTGCTTTAAAAATTCTTTATCAATCAAATTTTAATTTTTTTGAAATAAATTTTTCAAATCTGGTAAATTCCCCATAGACCTCATGTTATAGAAATTATAATTTTCTGGTGTATTTAATGTATTTTAGATAAAACTGTCACAGCAATTAAAATTATAGAAATGTTAGAAATAAAGAAAATGGAAAGCAACACCTTGAAAAGAGCCATAAATAAACTACATGTAGAGTCTGGGAATTCAGAATGAGGCTTAGAGGTCATTTTCATGGTGCAGCATAAGTGAATATTTTAATTATTTAGCATATTCTCCCTATTCTAGTTCAAAGGAAAATTAGGGCATATATAGATCTTATGTAGCACCTATGAAAATATAGAATTCTATCATATTATTTCGTATATTTTCGTATAATATAACAGCAAGATTTAGTGTATATTAGAACATAATATTTACAATTTATTATTTACAATTTATATATACATCATTATCAAGTACACTATAAAGCATATTACACATTTAAAAATATACAAGGAGTAGACGAGGGTCTCTAGCATTATCGCTACATAGCCTCATATGGCACAATCCCAAAGTTGATACAAGGCATGTCATATTCTCTGCCACACGTGGATAACTAGGTCATATTAGCTCCCTAATTTGCCGATACGTTATTTGTGTTTAAAATGAGGTAAAGCCAGAGTCATCCTTTGTGTTCTTCTGGGAACTTTTGTCTTGTTTGTCCAAATTCTCTGATTTTTTTGCCAATGCAGCAGAAACAGCATATTTGGCCTCTCTTGCCTGGAAACAAAATTCAGAATGTTTATTGCCATTTCGTGAATAGTAAAGGTTTTTATTTTTGCCATTTTGTTTATGTTTGTCATGTTTTATATTTGTCATGTTTTATGTTTGTCATTTCATGTGTCAGATGTTATCCTTTGCGCTTAAGCATTCATTTATCAAGTATATGTCCTGTTTACTAGGGTTTTCAATGCAAATTTTGGAATATTTTAAGTTGCAATGTACTAACTCTCTTTTCCATCCTATGTAAAGCTCTTCGAAGAAGTGAACGCTTGTCTTTTTCCAGTTGAGGTTGTGAAAACTTTGGATCATAAAGTGGAGACATCATCAGGATAGTTTCCATTGTGCAATCAGCCTTTGTGTAAAAGCCATTTTTGCCAAATGTTGAAAAGTCTATCTCTGGCCATTCATATACATGTATGGCATTCAGGTCTATCACCATTGTGACCTCCTCTACTTTCTCCTCATCTTCAGCATTATTGAATGGAACTATACGATTGTTTTGCCTCCATAGCTGTCTTGTTTCTTTCGATTTCCAAATAGCAATCTTGCTCATGGCACTTCTAATCCTATGGCTTCTATTTGGTTGTTTTTTCATCTTCAAATATTTTAGTAATTTATGTCTTTGCAGATCAACTTTGAAGAATTTCTTTATCAGTTTTGTATTGCAATTGGTTTTGTTTGTGTTTACCATAGAAACAAATTTCTATCACTTGGTAATTCTCATTGTGTAGTATGACATCACATGTCTTGTTGCTATGAAACTCAAGTCCTATAGCAACCATTGTTTTATTTACTATGTGACATAACAATTGATTTTTTGATTCAATTAATATGTTTATGCCATCACAGTAGATAATAATGTTATAAGTTGTGATGTCATAAATTGAGAAATTTCATTCAGGGAAGTAATTGTTGGGTGTCATGGTAACATTCATAGTCAGGGCCGTCAGATGGGGGGGGGGGGTGCGATGGGTGCGACCGCACCCCCCTTTGTCACCCCCCAAAATAAATTTGAAAAAAAAATTGAAAAAAATTCTTTTTTTGAAAAATATTTTTTTTGTAATTTTTTTTCATTGACTCATACACTTTGAAAGTACCCACAAAGCACCAAATAGCATCTTAAAATTGTAAAATTTTCTAGGGGTATTGGCCACCCCTCACACCCCCCACAAAACAATGGAAAAGTTCTAAATTTATTTTAGTGTTTTGTCTCAGACACTTTTAAAGTGCCCAGACATCATCAAATAGCTCCTTGATATAGTTAGTGTTTTTGGGGGACTTGCTCCCCCTCTTGCATCTTGCACTTTCATAGACCCCCCCCCCCCCCTCTGGCGCCCCCCCCCCCTTGACCCCCCCCCCCAAAAAAAAAAATTGTGATTTTCTCAAATTCTTTAATTGACTCATACACTTTGAAAAGTGCCCAGAAAGCACCAAATAGCGTTGTAAAATTGTAAAATTTTCTAGGGGGAGTGGGCCACCCCTCACACCCCAAACAAAACAATGGAAAAGTTCTGAATTTGTTTTATGTACTGTCTCAGACACTTTTAAATTGCCCAGACATCATCATCATCCTTGATAAAGTTAATGATTCTGGAAGACTAACACTTACTCGCCCTCTGGCATCCCCACTCCACCTCCCCCCCAAAAAAAAAATTTCAAATTTTTTTTATTGACTTTATTGACTAAAGTGCCCAGAAAGCACCAAATAGCATCTTAAAATTGTAAAATTTTCTTGGGAAATAGGCACTTTTAGGCACAGACACTTTTAAAGTGCCCAAACTTCATCGAATAGCACCTTGATATTGTAAATTTTGATATGGGGGACAAACACTTGCTCCCCCTCTGGCACCCCAGCCCCACCTCCCCCTCTGGCACCCCCCCCCCCTTTGACACCCCTAATACACTTTAAAAGTGCCCAGAAGCACCAAATATCATCTTTAAAGGAACATTCCTTGCCAGACTATTTTTCTCCTGATATGGTAGCTACAATCATATATACTTTACATATTTAGCAAAACATGGGAAATGTTTTCATATGGTTAATATTGATCATTTAAAAATGTAGTACTCATTCCCAGTAAGCTGCCATCTTTTCAGATTTCTTCCAGGAAGTGATGTCATCGACTCTCACCTGTTATAACCTTGTCTATTACAGTATAGGAAAGAAGTACAAAATCACTTCTAAACAAGAAGCCCTTATCTTCAGTGTAAAAATATTTTCAGGAGTTGTCAACTTAGAACTAAAGAAGAGATCATCAAAAGGACTTTAATCATAGACCAAATTGAAAAAAATATTCAGCTGGTTTAGTATTTCTAATAGCTCCTTACCTAATGTTATATGCAAAGTTGAGAGTCGATGACATCACTTCCTGAGTGAAATTTTAAAAGATGGCAGCCTACTGGATTTGAGCACTACATTTTTAAGTGATCAATATTGACCATTTCAAAACATTTTTCTGTTTTTTGATAAACTTGCAAAGTATGTATATGGTTATAGCTACCATATTAGGAGAGAGATGGTCTTGCAAGGAATACCCCTTTAAATTGTAAAATTTTCTAGGAGAGTTAGCCACCCCTCACCCACAAAACAAAAGAAAATATTCTGAATTTCATTTTTTAAGTGCCCAGACATCATCAAATAGGAATGTACTAAAAACCCTTCGACCTACAACCCTTCGACCCTACGACTTACTGGGTGTCAAGAATTTTTGGAATATATTTTATTGAAAAACCCTTCGACCTCTGATTTCCCAGTCCAGTTTACTAAATGATTACGTATAGTTCCAACTTGAGCTCCCTGTGCACGCAAATACGCATTTTACCTGGTAATTGTCAAGCAAAAATGTTTCAGTAGAAAAATTTCTAAAAAAGTTCGTCTACACAGCAAAAATACGAACGCCGAAAAAAAACGTACGCATTTCGTTCGGACCTTTCACGCGAATTACGTATATGTCACGCATTGCGTTCGAAATTTTTCGTCTTATTTTACTTTTTTACTAAAACTTGAAAAGTAGTTGAACGATTTTGAGATCAAAAGTTCGATGGGATTTGCTCCACCTCGCGTTGCTGTTATCTAGTTCTGAAATGTTTCATATCTATGTCTAGAAAATATCGTAAAGGCTAGAGTACCGACAATTGTCGGTACTCTAGACTCTGATGTGGTGGCACGCTAGAGGACCGACAAATAAATTGTCGGTACGGGAGATATGCTGTGTTTACACGCTAGAGGACCGACAAATATTGATTTTCGAATTTTCTGGCGCATGCGCAATGCGCGGGGGGGATATTTCAGATATCATACGGATATTTGGGAACAAGTGCAAAACCCGGGGAGGGCATTAGCCCCAGTTACCCGGGGATTACCAAACCCAGTCAAAAAATGGTAGCCCGGGAACGGGGAATGGTAGTAAACGTTGAAAACCCAATAAAAACATGAACAAGTAAGACGTTCAAGAGCTATTAATGCAGAGTAAACGGCTATATATATTCTAAACAGACAGGATATTTCTCCTGAGCCGATCAGGCGTAGAAAGGGGCGTTTGCTAGCACATTGCTACCCATTAGATAGAAGAAAATAGTTAGAATGTTTTTAATTTGAAGCTTATGGTATGAGGTTCCATATCCATCCGCCAAAAGGTATGAGCCCTATATAGTCCATTTAAAAACCTGTGGTATCATTCTAAATAACCCATAGTTGGCTTCTAGGGTACCTAGTATGCCACTATTTGGTATCAAAATAAAGAGGAGTTCAACTTTCATTTGAATTACGAAAATAGCGATGTAGGTGAAAATAGTTCCGAACGTGAGCATGTTTACTACGCGTTTGCCCGTCATATCAGAATTGAGGAAGTGGTAGCAAACGCAAGTTACAATAAACGGACGCTGATATCTCAAAAAGTAACCTGACTCCCTATAATTTGATGTAGGTCAATCGAACCCCTATATGGACAGGTGCATTTTGATATATAACACTATTGGGGGTAAGCTTCAATTTTTGTCGAAATAAATTATGGCTCACTACAAGTTAATGCCTGTACGATTCCATACTGCAAAAGAAGCACTATGCCCCCCCCCCTCAAATGAAAAAAGTAGGTCCTGCCGGGATTCGAACTCGGGACCGAGTGTGTTCGAGTCGTGCTCCCTAACCAGTGCCACTAGGCTATAAGTGATGAGGTTATTTCGAAAGGTAAAAGTAGTGGATTTATTTATGAAATTGTCAGCTCTCTAGCAAAAACACGTAGCAGCCACTTGCGTACCGTCAATTGTCGGTTCTCTATCTGGCACTACTAGGTGACGATAGAGTGCCGACAATTGTCGGTACCCCAGCAAATACCCCTGGACAGTCTTCAGTACCGATTTACTGAGGAGGTAAGAAACGTTCACATTCGAATGTGCTCGAATACATTAAACCTGCACATCGCTCCAAAACGCAATATGTTGACATATATTGTTTTTACATTTTTAAGCTCTAATATAAAGTTTATGTAAATAAAAAAAAATTATCTGCGTAATGTCAAAGAACAATAATTTAGTTAAAAAAAATAAAAAGGCGAATGCGGGATTAGAACCCGGGCCTCCCGCGTGTTAAGCGAGCATTCGTCCGCTAGACCACCATGATTTTATGATTGGTGGGAGTAATTAAACGCTACTAATTTTGAATGCTATGATTCAGAAGTGACGTCACGTTCTTCATTTAGAAACCTTTCCAAAATCATATCGTCGGCTCCCGGGGCCGGCTCCGATCGAAGTCTAGCTTTAAATATCTTTAACTCTCTTGGGACAGATTCTTAAGTTCTATACACAAAGTAATATTTCCAGCAATACAACTTCATATGGACTGAGAAATATCTAGAACGAGGTCGAAGGGTTTTTATAAAAATATATTTCAAAAATTCTTGACACGCTGTAAGTCGTAGGTCGCAGGGTCGAAGGGTCGAAGGGTTTTTAGTACATTCCCATCAAATAGCACCTTGATATAGTCAATGTTTATGGGGGACAACCCCTTGCTCCCTTACTGGCACCACATCCCACTTCACCCTCTCATCCACTTTGACACCCCCAAAAGAATTTGAAAAAATACACATTTTTCTTATTGACTCATAACGCACAGGCGTACCAGATGGTTGCAAATTCGCTCCAAATACAACCAAATTTCAAAAATTTCCTGGGGGAGACCCCCCTTAATGCTCGGTTTTTTATTCACTCAACTCTTATTCCCATGGTGGTGGCGTACTACTTGGAAACATACACTTTGAAAGTGCCCAGAAAGCACCAAATAGCATCTCAAAACTGTAAAATTTTCTAGAGGGAGTGGACCACTCCTCACACCCCCCACAAAACAATTGGAACTTTTGGAAGTTGCATTTGTTAATTCCAAACCAATAAAGGGAGTAACTGAGCCCCCCTCCCCCCCCCCTCTGACTTACGCGATTTGATTTTCGTGGCCAAAAAATTGACAATTTTATATTCTCTTTAGTAAGCTAAAACCGCACCCCCCTTGGAGAAAAGTGTCTTACGGGCCTGATAGTTTTAGGTTTGTTTTATTTTCTGTGGATTCCTTCAAATTTAGATTTCACAATTTGCATTTTTTGGAATGTAGAAATCTGGAATGTGTGGTTTATTATTTACCATTGAATATCTAATTATGACACTGCAAATTTGATTTGTAGTTTTAGTGTTGTACTTGAGTTAGCCATCTGGTGGCAACTACATATTTACCCTTCTAAATTCCTAAATCATTTTTTCATTCACTCAAATAAATTCATGAAATTCTGCAGAATGATCAATTTTTAAACTAACATTATATACTAGTTAATGAAACTTGACCTGTGATTTCAACACACAACTACATGTATTATCTGATGGAATCAAATAACTATCTGAAAAATTGCCAGGAAGCTTCATTGACACAGGGGATTTTTTTAATTTCAACAATTAAAGTATAATCTCAAAACCCTTGTTAACTCATGGACTTAAATCTCAAATAAATAAAGGGATGGTTGTTTTTCTTAATGCTAATTATATAAGAACCTTGATTTTCTTAATGTTTCAAAATTAACTTCAAAGTAAATGAATTGATTAATCCACTGTTGCTTAAACACATGATTCATGACCAAAATATTTAACATGAATAATGACTCAAATATTTTAAGTAGGCTTTAAAATTCATTTCTATAAATAATTGCGTATTTTAAAAATCTACTAAATTGCTAAACACTTAATCTTGTAATTATAATAATAGAAGCATTGTTGTTTCTCTGATTGCACTTCAAAGAGCTAATCAGGATTGTTGTGTACAGTTAAGAAGTGTCATGGCAACACTATATAAAACACATAGACTCTTGATTATACATTCATATTTGTGTAGGATCTGAAGGAGCAACATCACACTGAAACTGTATTTTTCAAGACATTTTTATTTGCAAGGAATCATGCTGAAATGGAAGTATAAAAGACATTCATATCACGCTGACTTAATGAGGAATGAAGAACTTCCAAATACATGTAGTGACAGGCATGTGGACTCTGATGCAACAATAAGCACTGTCAAAAGTTGGGAGCATGCAGGACAATCAAATGATGATCTCTCTGATTATCTGCCATTATCATCTACTCATATTGCATCATCAGATTCTCATCTTGGATTCATCTCCTCAACCGAATCTGATTCATCCATGAGTGGATATGACTTGTCAATGGAGGACACTGTTGAGGATGTCACTCTCAATCCCCCACTACAGGAAACTGTTGAGGATGTTGTCCTCACCCCCACACTGTCCGGGAAGCCTCGCTGCATACGGTCATTGGACAATACACTTGAGAGAACCAAGAGTGACTTGGACTTGTATCCAGTCCAACTTAACCTGTGTAAAAGTATGGGGGAAATCTTTGGCTCAAGTAGGAATTTGAGGGAACAGGAAGTGAAGCAGGGGGATGTGTCAATTAATACAACATTACAAGTGAGAAGGAAAATGTTGCACAACAACCTGGACAGGCTGAAGCTTCAAACTGCAAACATGAAATCTAAGGATACAAAAATGTTTGACCAATTTGAAAAATTACGGAAAATGCGTGAAGCTATCTCGTCACCTATAGCACCACCTAGGCGCAAACGAGCACTGAGAGCCTCTAGAACACAATCTGCACTCATCCCAGAGGACATGCATGTAGATGATGAGAAAAACATATATGAAAATATTGTCCCTGCAACTGGTGCACTGATTCCAATGCCCAATAACAATAACAGTGATGACACATCTCTGGAATTCAATCACCCTTTGACTACAAATGGAGACTGTTTTATCAAACTGAGTCCCAAACAATTGGCTCAAGACATTGCACAGACTGACAAGGAAAATAACAATTCCAAACTTGGGAATGTTTCCGCAATTGGGAAACAACAGTCAGCAAACATTGACTCCTTAGACATCACATCAAAGCACATAGTCATCAAGGATATAAACAATATAAACAGCAAACATATCTTAACACCAAGCAGAAATCTTAAAAAGTTTTTAACAAAATTAACTCGAAGTGGTAAAAAGAAAACAAACTGCTAGAATGTGTTTTGATGAACTTAAAACAGTGACACCATTGTTTGTGAAGTGTCACCTAAAAATAAGCTTATTAGGCAAAATAGACAAAACAACAAAAATAAAAATATTGCTAATATCCAATGATGATCCAGTAATTACTTTAAATACATTAATAACTGACATGACATGAATCATAATCAGTGGGAACTGTATTTTAAATGTTGAATTTTAGTACTGTAAGAATAAAGTATACATGTCAGTAGTTACCAAACAAAATAAATATTGATTTTATTGAAAATCATTAATATTTGTTTTTACATTTCCCATTTAATTTGAGAAGTTAGGACAATGGTGCAGTTATTTTTATTGAGTGTAGAAATTTGGGGAATTTTGTGTAAAGGCAGTCCCGTAGCAGGGTCCAGGGTTTGGGCGAAGCCCCCCCCCCTGCCCAATTTTTTTTCAAAATCATGCAGTTTTTCACCATTTTGAGCACTTCTCAAGTGATTTTAGCCATATTTGGGCCAAAATTGTCAAATGTGAACCCCACCTGGAAATTTTTGAAAACTGAACAGTCAGTTGGCAAATCCTGGCTACGGGCCTGAAAGGAATATGCTAAAAAATGTCGGCAGTTTGAGTTTAAAGTTGAATATACTAGAGATGTGAATGCAAGTGACAGGTAATATTTTATTTTAGCAATGCCTTAAATATAAGTGCTAGACCAACAACTTACAAATGTAAAATTTGTCAAAGACAGGTACTTTACGATATTCTGAAATTATCTTTGGGCTTTGAGAATTAAGACAAGACACATAAATAAGATGCAGAAAAATGATTCGGCCCTCAAGAAAAAAGTGATCATAGGAAATCTGTCAATGTGAGGAAGTGTAGCCATAATTACCATTTGTGGTAAAGAAGATCGGCACAGGCCCGTACCCTGGATTTACCGGGGGGAGCGGTTTTACCAAGGGCGGGGCTTTTGCTGAGGGGGGTAGAGCTTTTTGACGGTTTTGGCAAAAAATCATGCGAAAGTGCTCAGGATGGTGAAAAACTGCATGATTTTGAAAGAATTTATAGCCAGGGGGGGGATAGAGTGGCCACTAATTAGAAGAGATCTAAAATACCCTAAAGGCTAGAATGCCATCAAAAGCCTAATTTGGAAGATGTAAAGTTTTGGTTTAGGCTGAAAACAATGGACTGCATGAGTTTTCCCTATAGGAAAAAAACATGGGACATTTTGTTTCACGTGGTTAAAATGAGTAGAATAAGATTTTTATAGAAAATAAGAAAAATTTTGAAAAATGTGTCAAGATGGAGTCATAAACAATGGTTTTATTCAGAGAGATGGATTGATATCTTACTATCCCAATAACTTTACTTTGAAGAAAACATATTATTTTAATAAAAAATGATAGATTTATGGTCGAATATATGATTTTTAAAAAGTAATTTCCATACCATACTTGGTCTTAAATATCTGCAATGCAGTATGTAATGTAATCAATAAAAATATTGGATCATTTTTTTACTTACATGTACTTCATACCAGTGAGATTGCATACATCTGAAAAGATTGGGACATAAGCAGTGGGATGTGTGTCACCATATGAGGTGTTCATTTGACTGTATTATGATTTCAGTTTAAATGGCCACGTGATGACTATGATCTCCTAGCTGCAGGAAGGTAATTGAATGCTGTTTTGTTTCCGTATCTTTCTCCATCCTTTCCTACTTCTCCAATACTGAAAAATGTCTAAAGGAGATGTCATGATAATACTTACTTTGGTAACAAGGTGGCAATATGCGTATATGGATGAAACATCGGTATAAGAAATGTTTTTCAAGATATAACAAAGATCAGGTTCGTGGCCAGGGGGTGGGGGGGGGTCAAAGTTGTCAAAAGTCCTTTTAACCTTTGTTTATTAACTCCCATCTTAATGTGGACCATTTTTCAGTCTTGCTGGGCACATAGTCGAGTGTGGGGCCCAGGCCACAGGAGGTATCTTCACAGATTGGGACAAGATAGAGGGCTGGTAAGTTCTAATGTACAGGGTGACACAAATTTATGACATTTCGCAATGTTATTACATTTGTTGTCACATATTGATATACTGACCTTGTATTGATGTTTTTGCTTAATATTTATTGGGGCTCCTCACATTCATTTAGCATACCATATAGAATTTAGAATTTATTAAGGCACGGCCACTGTGTTATCCAGGGCATGGCCAGACTACAATTATACAAACTACATTTATACAGTCACATATACAGTTTATTTATACAGTCACATACATGTATACATATATGGATCGATATACAAGTACCATCCAATGTACATAAAAAGGCACTTAAGACTGTGTGATCATTAATACATACTAGCTCTTTAATAATGTTATAACTTTCAGGGATAATATAGGATTCCCTATAGTGGAGTGTGGCAGCAATGGTAGCTTTGTTGTCTCTAAGCCTGCTAAGACTGGTGGCCTTGTCTCCAAACCAGTTGTCTCTGAACAACTTGTATATGAGATAGGTGATCCCACAAGCTACATGCTGCCTGATGTTACATGTGACTTCTCTAATGTAAACATCACAGAACTACCAGGTAGATATTTCAACACCACAAACCATTTATAGAGATTATCCTATATGAGGTTCAAGATATTGCGATTATTCCAAGGCCAGTATAGAGGGCTGGTGTAGTTTTTTCTGCTTTTGATTTTTCACAAATATTATTTTTTCCTAAATTTATTTTCTCATCACAGGATGATTATTGCCTAACTTTTATCAAAATCACCAAATGGTGGGGTAATGTTTCATGATATCTTCCCCTGTATATTGTGTATGTGTTTACTTGCAGGGCATGATGGTGGTGCAGTGTTTGTCTCAGGTGCAAGAGGAACTGCTCCCTCAGACTCTTATAAGGTAACATATCTCACCTTAAATGATAATTCTTTCCACTTCATTTTAGCATAGTACATACATTTACAGTACATTGTTTTACATCATACACATCATAATGAGTGCAGTATGAAACCTGTTTGTTTTTAATGAGAGTTCTTGGATAGGATTTTATGTCGAAAGAATTGAAATTCATTCAAGATAATATAGGCACCAACATTATGTTTATGTTTATTGGCAGGTTAGCGCCACCTATGCATCAGGCTATAGGGCCACTGGGGTGGCATGTGTTGGGGGCCCAAGAGCCGCAGAGAAAGCACGGAAGACAGCAAAGGCAATAATCAAAAGGTGAGTGGTTTTAAAATGATCAAATTGAAAGGGTAGTGGTATTCTTTCGATTGATCAAATCCATTTTAAGTGGTTGATTGACAAAGAGATGTGTGGTTACCAAGTTGATCTTCATTTTCAATTGATAGGACAAGTAAGATGATAAAGGCACTGGGCATGGAGGACTACACAGCAGTGAACATACAAGTGCTGGGATCAGAGGAGACATATGGCACACATGCAACACCTGGTCCTGTAAGTAGGGGTATATTATACACATGTGCATCTCAAAACAGAAAGTCCATTTCTGTGATTGGGCCTTTATGTATTTAATTTAAGATTGGCAGACTTTTGTGAAATGAAGATTTCTTTAAGTCTAAAATCAAAGCAATTTCATACATTTTGGCTCACCAGAGGGGAGATATATAAATACATGTACATAGCTAGACCCATTCTCTTTCCAGTTGGCCTAATGGAACATTTTAATGTCATCTTTGGTCCTCTGTGATCTCAGTTGCTTGAGAGAATCTTGGACCTGTAAATGTGACCTGATTAAGAAAAAAGTATCATTGGTTAATGAATATGATATGTGTCTATCATTTAGGGTCCTAGAGAAGCAGTATTATGGCTAGCAGTGACCCACAAACAGAAGAAAGCCTTGGAGGTATTTGCAAGAGAAATAGCCCCGGCTGGAACTGGGATGGGTGAGAACTTGTAAAATTCATATCAAAAGTCAAAGAGTTATATCACATGTGAAAAAGCATACAGTAGATGCCTAAGAGTGAGTATGAAAAAATTAAATTTTATCAACATGATTTAACATAATTTATAAAATCTACATATTAAACATTTGTATGATCAACTTAGTGCGCAGGAATTATTCATCCTGTTTTATTGGTAACTCAAACTGTTTAAGGTTCTAGTTAAAAGAATGTTTCCAATTTATTGACTGATATAAATGTTACTGCTCCAATCATATGATCTCTTAAATGAACAATGTTTCGTGTTATTTAGCTCCAGGAATGACTGGCTTGGCTGGAGGGAGGCCGAAAGCGTGAGTAACATTTACTTGACAATTTAGGACTTTCTTAATGTTCATAAAGCAACATCTTTCTCGCATGAACAATTTTATTGTTTTTCAACTGAATAACCTTGTTTAAATGAATAGACAATGAGACTTAAATAATGTTGGATCTGCCTTGACTACTAATCTGTCCTTGTGGATTACTTGTTAGATAGATGCTCCTTATCAAACTGTGAAAATCCTTCACTGGTCCATCCTTGGTCCAAGGATATTTCACTTCGATTTTGGACTTTATATCCAGAAAACTAGCAAAACAACACCATTTGGGCCCAGTACCCACGGTATTATTTCTAAATTTTTTGTTTTGTTATTGTTATGTTTTATTTCTACAATGCAATCCATTTGATGTTGTCTGTTTCAGCTCTCCTGTTCTCAAACTGTTCTCATACCTCTACCCCAAGAAGGACACCAAGGTAAAACTAAAAGCTTGGCATTTTGTTTACAGTATACAATTGTTGACCTCTCCAGAGGTCAACCGGCAAAATTGTATACCGAGACTGTAAACCGAGAAGCTACTGTTGACAGAGACCGAAGGTCGAGGTCAACAGTGTTTCAAGGTTTACAGTCGAGGTATATGATTTTGACGGTTAACCGAATGGAGAGGTCTACAATTGTATACTGTAAACAAAAAGTTAGTCAGAAGAAACTAATAATACTCATATATACGACAGTCATCAATCATGGCTTCATTTCACAATGTTTTCTATGAACCACGCCAGCAATAATTTTTAAGAAAATCTGAAGACAGTGGAAGCTAAACTCTCTGTTTTCGGCACATAACTGCGTACTCACCAGAAAATTAATGTTAATTTTGCGTTTCTATTTGTATTGTTGCTATATACTCGTCGTGTAGAAAAGTCAAAATATCACTTTCATCAACGTGTACAAAATGTCCGACTACCATGTTTTTTCTGTAAACATTGTGACGTCATATTTCCCATAATTCACAAGTGTAGTACAGTAACATACACGGTCAATAATATGATATCCCATGATGCACAAGTGAGGTACAGGCAAAAATGTTGACCGCTAATTGAGCAATCAGATGCGAGTATTTACACTGAGGTACTAACAATATCTATTATGTCACCATTAGAAGAGGTGAAATATTGTAATAGTCTTCAACTTTATTATGGATGGTGTTTGGTGCTTGGTTTTGTGTTTGGTAGTTGGTGTTCTGCATTCTGTGTATGTAACAAATCGCAGGTGGTGACAATTTGCATGTTAATGCCATGTTGAATTCTTTTTCAATTCATATTAATTCAATTTAGATTATTTCATTAAAAAGGCAGAGGCATGAGTGAATATACCTGTCTGATTTGTTGTGTTTTAGATTGACATACATATGGATGGAGATCATGTAGAGTCATATGAGTGTCCAGACACATCATATTCAGTCTCACCATCAAAATATACGGATTCATGGACACACATTCCAAACCTTGCTAAAGGAAGTCATTCATACAGACTTGAGGAACTTGCCTACACGAGAAGTGGTGATAAAGGGAATATGTGCAATATAGGTATGTATATACAGGCCCGTAGCCAAAAATTCTTTCAAAATCATGCAGTTTTTCACCATTTTCAGCACTTCTCAAGTGATTTTAGTCATATTTGGGCCAAAATTGTCAAATGTGAACCCCCCTGGAAATTTTTGAAAACTGAACCCCCCTTGGCAAATCCTGGCTACGGGCCTGATATAGTATGTAGCACTCTCTCATTTTCGACCCAGTCTTCCATGTAAATATGTTCTCTGATCCTACATGTGCACAGGACATCTGGTTGAGAAGTAATTTTCAAAAGGACTGCTCAATTCAAAATGACTACCATTTTAAAAAATATACAATCTTTGATAACTCAAATATTAGTTGTCAGATTGGCCTTAGTTTCATTTCATGATTTTATGATTTACTTCCCAAGCTCTAGAGGAATTTCTAATTTGGTGTCATAGATACTGCCAAAATGAGACAACACTAATGCCTGGTTAATAGTATTTCTAACATGAAATTTTCAAAATTACAAGTGACTTGATAAGATATGTTTTGTTCAATGGGAACTGCTACTCTGGAGAGTTGCCGTTTTTCTCCTATTTTTTCAAATTCTGCCAGAAACTAACATTTGGCATTGAAGCATTTTTACAATTTAATGATTCTTCCCTTCTCTTATACCAAGACACCTGAACGTGTTACTGTGTGTACATGATTCACTTTATAACATCAGGTTGTTTTCTTTCAGGTGTAATAGCAAGACATCCCAAGTTGTTACCATACTTACACAATGCACTCACGACTGATGCAATAGAGAAATATTTTGCTCATGTATTTGATGATCAAACCAGTGGAGTACCAAATGTTCAAAGGTAAGAAAGCAGCTCACATTGTGCACTTCAAATATGTAAGCCCAACCATGGGGTTTCAAGCCCATGGCCCAACAATGTAACATTTTCTGAATTTAGTGAAGTTAAGATTGTTCATATTTGTTATATCACTTAAAAATTTAAATCAGGGAAATACATGTACAGTGTATACATGTACAGTGTATATACATGAATAAATTCACTGATGTCTCCATTGCTTATGATGATTGTACTTGTAGATATGAGTTACCTGGTCTCGATGCATTTAACTTTGTATTAAACAATGCTCTTGGAGGAGGGGGGATAGCTTCTCTACGCAGTGACCCTCAGGTAGGTACTATTGCAAACTTGCTCTTGAACATGTATAGCAATCATGTTGACAATCCTATGATAAACTATCCAATATTTATCCAAGTAAAGATGGCGCATAAATCATGCATATGCATTAAGCAGTTCTCCCTATTTGTCTAGTATGATGACATCTTTTCAATCGAAGGAATCTACTTTTGTGTTGTGTCAAAATATTGTGCATGAAAACACCATTGATTGATTGATTGTTGAAATTGCACAATAATATTAGGACTAAATGTAAAAACAAAGAAATCATTTATTTTGCATGATTCTATGCTTTATTGTTTGACCCTGAGCAACTTTAAAAAAAGTGGGATTAAGATTCTAAAAGGACAAATAATAATTATGATCCTTTGTAACAAACTAGTCCTGTTTCATTACACTGTTTCTTTATAAAGAAATACAATATATTCTTTGTATAGAGGCGTCAACAATCCCATTTTTGTATTACTTCATAGGATTAAATTAATTGAGAAGAAAAATATGAAAATGTGCCATAGAAAATAGTTTCACTCAAAATCCCTGCAGCTTCAAAAATGGAGTATGCTGTGATTTCTAGGCATGCTAGACTAAAGTATATGTAAATGTAATTACTATGTTATTGTATACTGTAGATTGGGTTAATTTGGCGCCCGCTTTAATTTGGCGAATTTGGCGAAATTGAAAAATTCGCCAATATAAATCTCCGCCAAAATTAAGAATGAATCCCCGGGAATCATCTAGGGTATTTCGTCCAGTGTATTAAGGTCACTTCCGGTTTATTTTTCCAAAAATATGAAACAAGAAAATGCAGCAAACTCCTCGAGTCGGGGTCTCCAAGTCAAAAAAATGCTTGACCCTCTCATATATCTGTTGATTATCCCTGTTAATAATTGATTCAAGCATTCTCAAAATTCATTTCGTTCGTTGCGTACCTTCACTACCTGAGGCACAGGAGGTACTGATTGCACTGGGCGAAAGGCTTGGAGATTGTGATTCAAGAGCATGAAGAGCGTGGCACTGAACAAACCTATATTCCTATTTGTTATTTGTTTAGTTGTTGGTTGGGTAACATGTTTATGACGTCACAAATGATGCGAAGAATCTTTAAACCAATCAGTGAAGTCTATATTAATTGTTTGTTTAGTTGTTGATGTGGCAATACGTGTCTGACGTCACGGGTGATTGCATCATATTCCAGTCACGCCATTTTACGACATTGCATAATTTGAGCTGATTTTGGCTTCATTTCACTTTATTTGAAAGACTTTTTAAAATATAATAAGGAGTCAGTATTTTTTTTATAAATATTAATATTTAAATTTGAGGTCAAAGTCCGAAAATTTGATCAACTGTTTGAAATCAGATTTTAAAGAGGTGAAGAAGTGAATAATTACAGGAGCAAACGTGATCAATGGTTCGAGGTCTCCCGCAAAGTAGTCGTTCGCTCCTACTTCGCGCTGCCTTCGGCAGAGGAGACCTCGAAAAAATGTCTCTCATAAATTGGCTCAGAACTGGTCAGTCACTCATTTATACTCAGGGAAAAGTAGCAGCATCGATTGAGGTGTAAAATGTAAAGGATGATCTCACAAAAATGTACAAACGTGGTGAATATCGCCAGTGGTCCTCAAAAGAAAAAATGAACATAGCCAAACATGCCCATTTAGATCTAGATCTACATGGTAATTCGCAAACAGCGCGTAAGTTTAACATTCCATTAACATTTTTTTTGCATATCCGCCAAATTAAATAGCCGCCAATATGCCAAAAATGGCAAAATCGCCAAATTAAGTAGCGCCAAATTAACCCAATCTACAGTATACAATTTTGGAAGTGTATTTGTAAACATATATACTATTCAGTATAGTATATCCAGTTCTTGGCACTTAGGGCCAGGTACAGAAAAGTATAAAAATCTGGAATTTGTATCAATTTTGAGATTTCGTTGAATTATGGTGTTATATATACTTGAATAATTGAAGGCATTTAGGAATATTTCACAAATATCATTATAGATGCCATCTTCCGATTCATACTTCATAAATTTCAAAATAGCTGCTCAATTGTAGGAATGGGCATTAATTCAAAGTATCACTTATGATTTGGGAACATTATTGGAATTTGCTACTCCTTGGAGTTGCCATTTCCATTCTAGTTAATTTGTTCTTTGATAGGTAAAACCTAATGAATACATTTACCTTGTCTGTATTGATGAAGCTATTGACCTTATGATATGTTAATTTAGATGTATTGACAGTTGTTAGCCTGTACATAAGATGTTCTAATGGCCACATCTCCATGGCAGCAATGTTTTTATTAGACCCTTGGTTACTTCATTGTGATCAGTACGCAAATCTGTGTTTGCACATTCTAAGTGCTCTGTTTCTTGGGTATGATTCAGCTTTTCAGAAATGTTCTTGGGATTTTTCACTTTCTTTCCTAAAATATTGTCTGCAATGTGTTTTCTACACATTTCCAGGCAAACCATGTGACGGATTGGTCTGAGATTTTCAGAGACTCCTTTTTGATATAGAAATAGATTTGAAATAAATTACATGGTTGTCCTATGAGCATGCCAGTTTTGCCCCATGCTTTATACCATAGATTAGATGATTGCAAGTCGAAAGAAAATGATGACAGTTCCTGCAAGGGGCTTTCGAAAGTGTCTCATATTGCTGTGTATAATAAAACCTAAGAAAAACAATATATTTGTCTTAGGTCCTCATTTACTGCAGCCCTTACAGTATGGGTTCAACTCAATACAAAATTACCATGGCTTAAAATACATGAAGTTAATTTAGTGTTATGAAAAGTATTATGAAAATATTACACTATGTATTTTTTCAGTATTAACTTCTGATATTTTTAAGAAAATTCGAGGTTCTATTTGTGAGAGTATTTGAATGCAATAATTTCCTGCCGTATGATTGGATTGCAATTGTTGACATTCAGTAGATTCTCTGCCTCCTGAACAATCTATGATTTCATTCTATAACATGACTTGATGTTTTCCTGGCTATGAAGCTTTCTAATTAAGAATCCCTGGTCGATCTGATTACCTGCGATTGGGGAATGTGAAGGGTAAATCAGGGCATTGTCCTACCGAATGAAGTTTCTAAGGTTATAGAGAATCCATTCATCCATGCATCCATTCATGTTTTTTTTTTATCAAGAGATTTTATTGCCATTAATCATCATTTGAAGTACATATCATATGAGGGACCCAATCGCCAGTGGCATTATAGGTGTCCCTCAATGTAGTAATTATAATTTTTATAATTTGTAAACATGGTTTATTCACAATTATATGAGAAGAAAAAGAAAAAAGAAAGGATCTGCATTTAAATTGGAGTGTGGGGGGGGGGGCTGCTGCCTCCATTAGTGTGTTTGGGCGACAACTCAAATATTGATGAATTTGGTTCAAATTTTATATACTGATGCTTTGGGGACATAGAATTCTGCACAAGAAGGAATTTTCAAGATAGCTGCTTAATTCAAAATAGCTGCTTAATTCAAAATAGCTGCTATTTTTCATGAAAAATGTTATATTTAATTTGTAAAACATGGTTAATCCAAACGCCATTTAGACTGGATAAAAGCATTCTGATTAGGAGGTGTTCATATTTCAAGTTTTTGCATTCACAAGATTTTGAAGAAATGTGAACACATTCTTAATAAATATATTTGTCACATATCTTCATGGCATTCCAAAAATGTGAAAATCTGATTCAAATGAATTTAATATAGTCATATCAGACACATTGTGAATCAGACCATTTAGTTTTGGATATCATAATAAAACAGTGATTGATATGAAATATTTGAGCAATTTTGTATGAAAAGTGTTCATAATAGACAGTGGTTAAGTTTTCAAATAGAATTCTTCACTGTTCAAATTGGGTGGTGTTCACATATCAACGTTTCTTTAACATGAGAGTCAATGACAGGCAAAAACGGGATCAAAAAGTGGTCAGATTGAGAGGTGTTTGATTAGTCCAAATCTTAAAGGCTATTGTCTTATGGGCAAAGGACCCCTGCTCAAGAAGGACATGGACATGCATGCCTTATAGACATAGAAATCTATTAAGAAGAAAATTTGAAAATGAGTGCTGATTTGTTAGATTTTGTTCAGAATTAAGGTACTAGTGCCTTATTGGCATGGAACTCTGGTCAAGAAGGAATGTGAATTCAAAACGGTTACCATTTTTCAGGAAACTTATGATTTTTTGCTGATAACTCATATACCGGTTTATACCAGATCATCGGTCACATCATTTTGCCAAAAGGACAGTACTACTCTACTACTTCCTGGTTATTTCTATCATATATGCCTAATGTCGAAAACAACTAGGGATTTAGTGAAATATGTTTGATTTGATGGTATTTGCTTCTCAGCGAAGTTGCTGTATTCTACTTATTTCTGGGCTGATTTTCCATCCAAAGAAATGGGAAAAAACTTTGGTGAGGAAGTGTTTAAGTGTTTTGTACAAATACTTAGACCAGAACACGCATATACATTTTCATGGTAGACCTAGAAAGCACACATACAATGAATTCATTGTAGACCTAGAGAGTACACATACAATATATTCATTGTAGACCTAGAGAGCACACATGCAATATATTCATTGTAGACCTAGAGAACACACATACAATATATTCATTGTAGACCTAGAGAGCACACATGCAATATATTCATTGTAGACCTAGAGAACACACATACAATATATTCATTGTAGACCTAGAGAGCACACATACAATTCATTCATTATAGACCTAGAGAGCACACATGCAATATATTCATTGTAGACCTAGAGAACACACATACAATATATTCATTGTAGACCTAGAGAGCACACATACAATTTATTCATTATAGACCTAGAGAGCACACATGCAATATATTCATTATAGACCTAGAGAGCACACATGCAATATATTCATTGTAGACCTAGAGAGCACACATACAATTTATTCATTGTAGACGTTATATATGTCAA